TTAAAATTAGAGCATTACTATTACTCAAAAGTGATGAAAAATATTTAAAGGAAGAAGAGGGCTGGAGCCTGATTATCATAGCAGAGTGCTTGATGCTTGCATGTGAAGGATGAATCATTCCTGAAGACTGATCCTTGCTGCAAGATAAAACTATTATTCCTGCACACTGTACTCCAGGATACCTTTCTCCCACCCTGAAGCTTTCTAGAGAACATTCTGCACAAAACTATGTGTGCCAGCAGTAGTTCTGGGGTTGTGCTATCTTTGGTGCCATAGAAGTGGGATAAGTAGAGGTCCCCACATCCTCCATCTGTCTTACCTTGGCCATCCAGTGTCCGATCTGAGTTCAATTCCAACCCCATGAGCCTCTGCTTCTACAAGTCCTATGTATCTATAAGGGGTTTACTCCCCTGTAGGTTCACAAGCATAGCAACCTCCACTATGCTTTTCTCTCAGCATAATGTAAAACAAGGCCCTTCCCAAAAATTGCACTGAAGGCTGCCATTGCTACTGCTACAAACATAATCCCTAACTGCCGTGTATTGGCTTTTTGCTTTAATAGCCTTTTAACCAACTTTCTTAATGGACTGAATACAATTTAGATATGGAACTTGGCTAAAACGTAGCTTCAATTGGCTATTAAAATTTAAGAGCCAACTAAGATAGCTAATTACAAAAAAAAAAAAAAAAGAGGGAAAGAGAGAAAGAAAAGAAAGGGAGCTCGGGTGATAATGCTAAGAAGAATTAGTAATTGCAAATGACAGTCTGTCTAGTCCTATTCCCAAAGGGAAGCAAAACTCTTAACGGAGAAGTCAACCAGACAATGTGCACACAAAGTCACAAAGCCACCTAAACCAAAAAAAAAACCCCTCCCTGCATTATATTATGGGTGTTGTCACATCCCAAACATGACCGCTCATGGGACAAAATGCTTAGAAAACTATTTTAGCATGCCACCTGGGGAAATGGCAAATGTTACTCAAACTTGGCGTGTGCAGGTGCGTATGTCTATGCCTGAAATTCTGTTGCATATGTATATGTTTCCCTATAGAAATTGTTAGATATTTAAGTCAAACTGGAATATCCTCATTCAATTCAAGGTTACAGAAACAGAGCTGTATATGTAGTACCATTGTGCATAGTTGCACATTGCTCATGGGTAGACATGGCATATGGATGGGCAATTGGAAGGCACCTGATCGCCGTGTGCATTTTATTGTGCATCAGGCTGCACAATAATTGTGTAGGATTTCAGTTGTTGCATAGACCCTTTTATATATGCATGATTTTAAAACAAAATATACTCACATATATTTTCACATACCCTACCGTTACGAACACATATAATTGTATATAAATGTTATAATGGTATATGTACTATATGTATATGTATGTATAGTTGCCTATGAGATATATATATCAGTGTGGAGTGTGTATACATGCAGACACATGTATACACACATACACTCCTTTAAAAATGATAATGGGTGCTGGGGAGAGAAGAGGAACTATTAAGTCACAAAAAGGTTTTTGTATTGTTGTTTTTATAGAAAGAAGAAAGGAAGAAACTAAAGTCCTTATGTCTATAATTAAATTGGATTCTCCCTCCAGATATTTTAGATTACACAGAGTGTGTGTTTAGCGGGGGGGAGTAAACAAGGGTCTGTCTGTTGAATGTTTTCACTAAAAGAAGTGTTGTATGATTCCTTATCAATATCTCCATTATGCTATCAGCTGAAGTACGTACTAGTTCTCCTATATAGATTTATCATATATGGTGGCCACTTTGAAAGGGGAGGGAAGGGTTTTTTAAAAACCTAACGTAGGTAGTGGAGTCTTTAACATTCCCGACTCAAGTGTCTCCCTGCTGTGCCTGTAAATGTCAGTCCAGTTTTTTCACGGCTGTGCGCACAGATTAGAAACAGCAGGAGAGCTGGGGAGTATGACTACAATACCGGTAAGGACTCTTGTCTTCATGGCACTGCTCAAGTGATTCTTGGAATGCAGGACCCTGCTGTTTTCTAATATTTACACACAACTGGAGTCATCAAGAGCAGTAAATGCAGTCTATAAGGCAGCTGCTTTCCTTTGTGTAAGGGACTTTACATTCAAATCAGGACTCCCAGAGTCCTGCTGCCTCCTCCTTTCTTTTCCCTTCTACTACCCCAAAGATACCTTATATATTTCTAATGATGTCATCACAGTTGCCTGTCTATCCTATGATTTAATCAAGAAACTCAATCCCTTGACCTTGGGTACAAAGTGTCTTGTTCATATCTCCAAAATCCTCCATTCCTTAGCCCCCAACCTTATTTTTTTTCTCCTCTGTCTTGACATATCCCTTCCTCAGTCCTTGCTGGTCAACTCTGCCACCCAAAACTCTCTTGAGCCTTGAAACAGCTCATTATTCTCCCCTGTGCTTGCTCTGCTTCCTAATTGCTCACATTACTTCCCTCCCACAAAACCTTTGTAACAACTAATATTACACTATGACTCCTATATCCACAGGGGACATGTTTCCAGGCTTATCACAGATAGCAAAAACTGCACGAATGAACAATTGAATGAACGACTTCCGGAAAAGCCTATCATAGAATCATGCTGGACTGCAATGCATATAATCCCCAATCCATTAGTCATATTAGTTAAGGAGGATGGGAACTGTATTCTAAAACCTCTTATGGTTGGGGAATGCTGGTCTAAATCATATGGTTCATATCTTCCCATATTTTATTTTAGCCAGAACATGCATTTCTGCATTAGGCCGGGTTTTAGCAGAGATGGTTAATCACCAGCAGCAATAGATCACACCAATCGCAAAGTTGGCAGTTCAAAGCCTGGGTTGGGGTAAGCAACCAACCTTCAGCCCAGCTCACTGTCCACCTAAGCAATGTGAAAACAGCTGAGAGTAGAGAAATTAGGTACTTCTTAAGTGGGGAGGTATTTTATGGCACCATAAAAAGGAAAAACCAGAAAATGCCAGCAATCAAAGGAAGTAGTAAGTCTGTGATCAAGGGCTCTTTGTCATAGAAGATGGAGTGACAGCACCTCCAGGATGCCGAAGTTGGGAAAAATGCCAACATATACCTCTGTCTGTCCTATCTAACTGCACTGAATGTTTGCCATGTATGTGCTATGTGATCTGCCCTGAGTCCCCTTTGGGGTGAGAAAATGGAATATAAGTGCTATAAATAAATAAATACATACATATATACATACATACATACATTTATCTTGCTACTTTTATAAAACAAGTGTAATTGCAATAAATGTTTATGTCACAACTAATAACAATGATGTATGCCACCTGTGTACTTTATGTTCAAGTACATATTACTTTTTGGCAAAGTACAAAGTGCTATTTTTGACCTTTAAAGCCCTACATGGTTTGGGTCCAGGTTACCTCCAAGATCACCTTCTCTCATAAAATCTGCCCTTTAGAACACAGAGATCCTCTGAGGGTCAGCTACTCCAACCAGACAGAATCTGACTGTCACCCAGAGGACCCTTCCATCAACCACCCAAGGCTATCGAATGGCCTGCCAGAAGAACTCCAACAGCTAAACGAGGTGTCAGAATTTAAAACGCAACTGAAGACCCATCTCTTCCATCAGGCCTACCCAGACAACTTCCAATCATGAGTTTTGATTTGCATTCTGTTACTCTATTATCGCTGTATATAAATTTTGTAGGTGTGTTTGGTATAAATTTTCATGTGTGTGTGTGTGTTTTATCTATGTAATTTAGTAAATTATTTTTATGTTCATTTGTTTTTGAATTTGTTGTACCCCAACTCAAGCCATCAGGAGAGGTGGATAATAAATAAAATATGTTGTTGTTATCATCATCATCATTATTATTATATTTGCTTAAAATGCATGGTCAACTGGAAAAAATAATTTTATTAGGTTACAGAAAAAGCCTCTAATGGGTTCTCTATATTAAAAAAGAATATTCTTGTTCATTTGTTGAGGATTGCATCCGTATTTTAAACCGAGAGTGAGAAGTACTTGAGCAAAATAAAGAATGTAAGAAAGTACAAATTAAAAAGTCATCTTGGGAAAAGCATGACGATCAGACTGAAGTGTTTGAACGCTCTTCAGTCCTTCTCTCTTAAATTAAGGCTTATTAAAGGGAAATACAATGGCCTGAGTCCTACATTTTTCACATAAGGAATGGATAAACCATTTTACTGGATGACATTTTTACGAGTTAAAACTCATTCTTGTTTTGAGAAGTTAACTTGATTCCAATTTATTTCTGATCTGATTGCTTTATCTTAAGAGATATATATATATATATATATATATATATATATATATATATTCAAATGGTTAGTAGCTTTGAGCCATTCCACTTCTGAACCAGAAAGCAGGATAGATTTTTCAATGAACACATGCATTTATCAGTAATGACCAGCAAAGCGGCTAAAACCTACTGGTAGGTCTCTACAATTATTTCTAGTAGAACTAGCTTTGAATCCTTACTGCTTAACAATAAAGGTAAAGGGTAAAGGTTTTCCCCTGACATAAAGTCCAGTCGTGTCCAACTCTGGGGGTTAGTACTCATCTCTATTTCTAAGCCCAAGAGCAGGCGTTGTCCGTAGACCTCTCCAAGCTCATGTGGCCAGCATGACTGCATGAAGCGCTGTTACCTTCCTGCCGGAAGTAGGAAGGTATTTGTTGTTTATTAAACAAAAGGCAAAGTCTTAAACACAAAAGTAAAGTTGCAAAAGTTCAATAGCCAAACAGAGTCTTAAATGCAAAGGCAGATCTACTCCCAAAATGTTTGCCCAGAAAGGTTTTGAAGTTGCATTTGCTGCTTTACTTGGGAGTTTATTTATTGTTACCGCTTTTTTGCATTTAATGACTTATCACATAGTAATTTGTTGGGTATTCCTTTTTTAAAAAACAAACCATACTCATTTAGCTAGCTTATTTAAACTCACTTAACTTTGAAGTAATTTACGCGTATTTCAAAATAACTTGCACACAAACATATTTCATCTTCAGCCTCAGATGATATATAAACTCTATTATTAAGACTTTATTTTTATTCAAGTTTGATTAAAAAAACCTCTCCTGAACAGATTGATACAAGAGTGTACAAAAACAATCAAGAATTTTGGGAACATTCCTACTGAACTGCACACTCTTTACAAAAAGATTTTAAAATGTATTTCTCCAAACCTAGTAAAGAAGGCAGGACTATTGCAATAGTCTGCTCACTAAGCACATACGCAAAAATGAAAGAAAGCATAATACTATTGTAAAGTAAAACAATCCAAGCAAAGGCAGAAAGCACATATTATTCTGGCTCTTCTACTTCTGGACTCTCCTCCCGACTCTCATGCTTGTCTTGGCTTTGGGAGAGGTCTTCGGCAACTTGGCTTGCGTGGCCACTTTCTCTAAAATTGTGAAGAATAAAGGCAATTTTAAAACGAGAAAGAGGACAGAAAGAGTACTACCAAAACATTTGACATTAAGACTTTTTAATATTTGATAGTTACACAAAACCTATCAATAATTTACACCCACACATAAAAACCTACTCACACCTGCTTTAGGACACTCTTGAGTCTCACAAAATTAATTTACAGTAATAAAATTCATAGCTTATAGTATTCAAAGATATATAAACTAGTTTGATAGGGACAATGTATTGGCAACCCACAGGCAGTCAGTTGTCCTCAGTGCTATTTTATCTTTCCATCATGACTCCACTATAAACCTGCATGAGTCCTGCTTCAAGGATTGGAATTGGGTGGCCCGTCATACAATGCTGGATTGCATCTTCCAGCATTCCTCACCACTGGCTATGCTTCCTTGGGTTTCTAGGAATTTCAGTCTTAATAACAACTAGAGGTCAAAACCTTTTCCCCACTGTTTCCATAATTGCTAAAGAAACATTACTACTATGACACTTGCAGTGACATCACAACTGGTGCTGGCCTAGTCTCTGGGTACTTTGACCATGGAGGATCTAGTCGTTACAGGTTAATGTGTAACATTTTTTAAATACTAATCAACTGCACAGTTTGCAGGAAACCAGTATCCTGGAATTAATCCACTGAGCTACTGAACTTGCTGACCAAAAGGTCAACGGGTTCAAATCTGGGGAATGAGGTGAGCTCCCGCCGGTAATCCCAACTTCTGCCAATCCAGGAGTTCGATAACATGCAAATGTGAGATCAATAGGTATTGCTTCGGCGGGAAAGTAACAATGCTCTACGCAGTCATGACCTTGGAGGCGTCTACGGACAACGCCAGCTCTTAGAAATGGAGATGAGCACCACACACACACCCCTCCCAGAGTCAGACATGACTAGACTTAATGTCAAGTGGAAACCTTTATCTTTACTTACACAACATGCACACACTCAGGCATAGAAATTGTTGCTATATTCCCACCCCCTGAGTGACATTTTCTGCCTTCAAGTCTGTCCCAGAAGCACACTTTAAAAATGGGAGGGAATGACAGGGCAGGGACAGAAGAGCTGCTGGCGGGAAATTCAAAACACAGCCTTACAGATTATTACATTTCTCTTGGCTTGATTTAAAGTAGAGAAAAACCTCCAGGTTAAAATAGGGTTCGGGCAGTAGGTTAGCAAGTATGGCATGCGTGTAAATGGTTTCTGCATTTGTTCTCACGAATATCCAAATGGCTAACTCATTTTAAAAACATACCATCAGATGTCATCTGTGTGTTCTAAGAAACTTCAGGACATAAGTGTCAGTGTGTGTAAGTTCTTTATGCAAATAACAGGAAGGAAGGAGTGTGCAGACAGTTCTCTTACATTTGCAAGAAGTTCTCTCATATCTAATTTTGCTCTGTGTTAGGCAAATTGCCTTAACATCAAATACTCAAAACAACACCAGTGGGATGAATCATGGTCGTTTCAAAATTTCCAAAGATTCTAAAACTTTCTCGGCTACACTCAGTACAACAATAAGGAAAAGGAAGTATTCAGGTGTGCAGGGTGTATTGACTAGAAAGTCTTGGAGCAGCCACCAAGTATTGTTTTTTCCACATGCTCCTACTATACATCCCTTTGAGTGTGGTGAGAAAAGAGCCTCTTAAGAAAATTTTAGAGCCAAAGCAGGGTATTATGGGAGAATATGATTCTTCAGGTAGGTAAGATAGATGAGCAAAATAGAGCTTTAGATAGATGAGCAAACTAGAGCTTTATAGTCCATTACAAGCATTTTGAATTGTGCTAAGAGACAGAGCACTAGTTAGCAGAGATGCTGTAACAAGCAGCCCCCTGGAGAACTTCACAACCCAATACTGAACTTTATTAACAAAATCAGACAAAAAAGGTTCCTATATGCATTCTATATCATTGTCTGTTTTCCCGCCATTAAATTCAAATCACTTCCGGTTTCTTTGCTCCAGCTGACGGGACCAGAGGAAGCCACCGAAGACCATGCACAGGGTCTGCACAGCCTCACTGATCACCCCTAGAGTATAACACCTCATATTTAAACATATAACTACTGTGTTATTGTACTGTGTTATTATTGCCTCGTGTAAGCCACCCTGAGTCCCCTTGGGGAGATGGTGGCGGGGTATAAAGATTATTATTATTATTATTATTATTATTATTATTATTATTATTATTATATAAAATGAGATCTTGCCTCCACCGGGATCCAGAGTCTGCGTCCCTTTAAACCACTGATACCGAGGGCCCATCATTCCTCTCCCTGTATCTGCGATCTTATGCGCCAGGGGTCCCATGGACTCCCCAACACCCCTCACCTAACTTATGAGCCCCTAGGAGCTCTGGGTTTCCCAGTAGCCCCATATAATTACCCCTCCAGCCTTCCCTGTTCCCAAATAAATACTTGACCCATAATCCCCTACCTAGTGCTGAGACATTGATTCCACCAGTATTGTTTGGACCCAGATTGGACCTGAGGACCCTAGAGGTTCCTACAACCCACCAATCCCCTGTATATGTTTCCCCAAGCCCACAGGCCCACTTTTATTTATTTATTTATTTATTTATTTATTTATTATTTATTGCAGTTACTTATACCCCACCCTTCTCACCCCCTAGGGGGGACTCAGGGCGGCTTACAAACAAAGGCACAAATTCGATGCCTGTCAAAATATACAGCATATATAAAACAGTATAAACATTTAGCAGCATTAAAACACATCACTACATAATATAATAAAAACAGTTTCATGCACAGTGAAATTCAGAGTTCCGAAATGTCCATTCATTCCAACAATTCCTGCTCATCAATGGGTCCTTATTTTAGCTGCCAGAATGTCCAAAAGCTTGGTCCCAGATCCAGGTCTTCAGTTTTTTCTGAACGACAGAAGGGAGGTCGCTGATCTGATCTCCCCGGGGAGTGAGTTCCATAGGTGAGGGGCCACCACCGAGAAGGCCCTGCTCCTCGTCCCCGCCAGCCTCACTTGAGATAGAGGCGGGGTCGAGAGCAGGGCCTCCCCAGATGATCTTAAACTCCGAGGTGGGACGTAGAGGGAGATCCGTTCGGACAAATACACTGGGCCGGAACCGTATAGGGTTTTGTAGGTTAAAACCAGCACTTTGAATTGTGCTCGGAATTGGATCGGCAGCCAGTGGAGCTGATGTAGCAGGGGGGTGGTGTGCTCCCTGTACATCGCTCCAGTGAGCAATCTGGCTGCTTCTCGCTGGACTAATTGTAGTTTCCGAGCAGTCTTCAAAGGCAACCCCACGTAGAGTGCGTTGCAGTAATCCAACCGGGATGTGACAAGAGCGTGGACCACCGTGGCCAGATCTGACTTCCCAAGGTACGGGCGCAGCTGGCGCACAAGTTTTAATTGTGCAAAAGCTCTCCCGGCCACCGCTGAGACCTGGGGTTCCAGGCTCAGCGATGAGTCCAGGATCACTCCCAAGCTGCGAACCTGAGTCTTCAGGGGGAGTGTAACCCCATCCAGCACAGGCTGTAACCCTATGCCCTGTTCGGCCTTGCGACAATGACCAGTAGGACCTCTGTCTTGTCTGGATTCAATTTCAATTTGTTAGCTCTCATCTAGTCCGACACAGCAGCTAAACACCGGTTCAAGGTCTGGACAGCCTCCTTGGTGACAGGTGGAAAGGAGTGACAGATTTGGACATCATCTGCGTAGAGATAACATCTCATTCCGAAACTCCGAATGATCTCTCCCAACGGCTTCATGTAGATGTTAAATAACATCGGGGACAGAATTGAACCCTGTGGGACTCCACACAACAACGGTTGTGGGGTCGAACAGGTGTCACCCAGTAACACCTTCTGGGTCCGTCCCTCAAGGAAGGATCGGAGCCACTGCAAAGCAGTGCCCCCGAGCCCCATGTCCATGAGGCGACCCAGAAGGATACCATGATCGACGGTATCGAAAGCCGCTGAGAGGTCCAGCAGAACTAACAGGGACACACTCCCCCTGTCCAGTTCCCTGCGAAGATCATCTACCAAGGCGACCAAGGCTGTCTCAGTTCCATGTCCCGGCCTAAAGCCAGACTGTGCCGGATCCAGATAATCAGTGTCTACCAGAAACCCCTGGAGTTGTGTTGCCACCACACGTTCCACTCTTGCCGATGAGAGATAGGAGCCCCTTGGAAGCTTAATGTACCCTCAATCTGTGTGTAGACCCCCAACCCATGGGGACCAGGCTTCCAGTAGGGAAGTATTAGTTTTAATCATGCAAATTGATTCCTACCCATCACAGAAATCTGGGCTTATGGTTGAATTCAGAAGTGCCATCAAACAGTAAACCTGCATTTTCAAATGGATATAACCCATACTAAGGCTGGCTGAATCCCTGTTTTCTTATTTGTTTCCAAGTTGTGGTTCAGTATCACCAATAGCGTAGTTCCAAAATCTAATTGAAAGGTGGGAAAGCTCAAGCTCTGGGTACAAACTGTGGTTTTCTACAGATAGTTATATCCCGTTCTTATAATATCATTGTTTATTGGTTTCCCAGTTTGTAAACATTTTGTTTCCTTCTGATCAAAAAGAAATGCCTCTCCCAAGGTTTAGTTACAGGAAGTAAGAGCTGTCAGATAAACTATGCTGGTATTTTGGTCCTTTTTGTTTTCACTCTTAGGTAACAAGGCTGGCAAGTCTTGCTTTCAATAATTCTGAGAATATGAATCTACAGGTCATAAGCAATCACAATTATGCCAAAATAGCACCAGGATTTCTTTTTCCTTTCTGGATAACTTCCCTTTTCTTAAAGTATCTCCACTCACTGTTGTAAACGGTGGCTGCTGCTACTAGCCTCTGGCTGCAACCTGCTGTGATGAATTGGTCCTGGGGAGCCCGCACTTCCTAACAGTGAATTGGACAAGATCGGGAGGATAAAAATGAGAACCGAGGGGAAAATAAATGGTGGGGAAGGGGACAGGAAATCACCACTCTTACCTCTTTTCATCAACTAATTGCCATCCATTTTATATGATGCATAGCAATTATACTCCACGTTTGCTGCCAGCTGATAGCTGACAATCTTAGTTTCTTCATGTTACCCCAATAAAATGGTTCAGTTTATTACAGAAGTTAAGCTTTTAAAGATAATTTTGTATCAAAATGTCAGATCAATGACAAATACTAATAAGAACATTTGTCTTACTCGGTGATGCACGTTTTCTTTTTTTCAGATCTTTCATATCATCTGCTTCTGTATCATCCTCATCAGTGGTAGCTGGTTTTGATGCAGCAGCTAGTTTTCTTTTAGTCTACCGCAGAAAAGAAAAGCCAAGTTTATACCCAGCAGGACAAAGCATATGCAGGCAAGTTAAACCACAAAAGGAAAAAGCACCATAGCAAAATCTGAATCCCCCACCTTTGCTGTCTGTGAGCAAAAAGCTCTAAAAGCTTCCATCAGAAAAATATATATCAAAATTAATATACAGTAGAGTCTCGCTCATCCAACCTTTGCTCAGCCAACTGTATTATCCAATGCAGTCTGCCTCCCGCCCGGATCCACAGCTGTTTCAAGGCATTGAGATGTTTTGGTGCTGAATTCGTAAATACAGTGATTACTACATAACATTAGCATGTATTGAACTGCTTTTTCTGTTGATTTGTTGTAAAACATGATATTTTGGTGCTTAATTTATAAAACATAATTTGACATTTAGTAGGCTTTTCCTTAATCCCTCCTTATTAGCCAACATTTTAGCTAATTCAACATTCTGCTGGCCCATTTATGTTGGATAAGCGAGACTCTATGTACTATGATTATATAAAAAAAACCCTGAAACTTAAAAAAAAACTCAGATTCTTCTGCAAACTCATTTTAGTTTGCTCAGCAATAAGGCTACAGGTATAAAATTATCTACTCTTAGGCTTGATATGGACTAAGTACCGTAAAATGTGCTTCTTGGTTTCTTTCAGTATCACAGCTTTTATGTGTCATTATGTTTCATTTAAATGTTTCTAGATTTCATGACTACAGAAAAACAAATGTTACACTTGCAGTTTCAGCTGGGGGCACCCAAGAAATTACAATAAAAAAATAACCTCATCTGTACCCTTTGGATGAATAAGCATATTACATACTACAAATTGGCTATCCACCATAGTTCAGGCTTCTACCAATATTATGATGCAATATGCTTTAAGTATATGTTTTGAGAGCAACATACAGCCGAATTCTATTTGGAGAGGATTTTTTTTTTCGAATATAGATTGAAGCAGAAATGGAATGGAATTATGTGTGAAAACATATGGAAGTGATACAAAATGAGAACAGATTGATTTCTTCATCATTTTAGCTCGTGGAACAGAAATCAAGGAAAGCATGGCACAAGAACCCTAGTATCTATCTCTCCCATGCAAAAGCAACCTTCCAACAAAATATTCCAAATTTACTATTTATTTATTTATTTACTACATTTATATACCACTTTTCTCCCCCTAAAGGAACTTAGTGGTTTCCAAAATTATGAAGGCAAAATACAATGCTGAACATACACGCAAAAGATAATCGGTAGGTTGTTGTAGGTTTTTTCGGGCTACATGGCCATGTTTTAGAGGCATTCTCTCCTGACGTTTTGCCTGCATCTATGGCAAACATCCTCACTACCTCTGAGGATGCTTGCCATAGATGCAGGCGAAACGTCAGGCGAGAATGCCTCCCTGAACAGTGGTTCTCAACCTGGGGTCCCCAGATGTTTTTGGCCTTCAACTCCCAGAAATCCTAACAGCTGGTAAACTGGCTGGGATTTCTGGGAGTTGTAGGCCAAAAACATCTGGGGACCCCAGGTTGAGAACCACTGCTCTAGAACATGGCCATATAGCCCGAAAAAACCTACAACAACCAAGTGATTTCGGCCATGAAAGCCTTCGACATTACAAAAGATAATTGCAAGACAGTAACATATAACTATGAATTAACCTAACCAAATTAAAACATAAACATAAAAGAACATTTAGACATAAAGCATAAAAATTAAACAATAATCAATAATATAATATTAAAACCCTCCGATAAACAACACGGTTTAAAGTTATTAAAATCACACCATCCAAAATCAAGTCGATTACTATGAAATCAATTATCACGAATCAAATTATTCATATTGAAAGAGTGTACACAATGACTTCATAGATTAATAACAAGGCAGAAAAAATTACATTTTTTGTATTGAATACATTCTGATTGAATACAATCAGAAAGACAAATAAATTACCAAAGGTATGATTACAAGAAAGTATTTTTGTTTATTTTTGAGAGTCCAGCTGAATGAAACTGCTTCATCATGTTAAAACTATTCTAAAAACTTAAGTTCTAGCTTGCTTTTTGGGTTACTTGGGCCAATGTGCCGTTTTTCCTGAAAGAGCTGCCGAAGTGGTTGCAGCCTCACATGGCTGACAAGGGAAGAGGAGAGTGCATTACATCTTTCCAAAGTGTTGCTTCATGATTACCATCTAAACCCTGCTGGGATGAACAGATTGGTTCGATAATTACATACAATAACTGCAGTGGGCAGGTAACCCTCAGCTGGCACAGGGCAGCTCCCCTGTGAGAACTTCCATATGCAAACTGCACTGATGGAGTGCATTAGGTACATCTTTCCTGCCGGTGCACAGGCCTGATTAACGCCAACCAAGACTCCAAGGTTAGCATGTCAGCAGATTTGTGATGCATTAGGCAGGAATAAACACAGACACTTTTGTTCATTCCGACCAAAATTAAGGAGGAATATCGCACCACTGGATTGCTTTTGAATAAAGGAAATAAATGCATTCTTCCTGGCTGAACTGAAGACAGATTTTTTAAAGTCGGTACCTAATACTTCCTACTCAAAAAAACGAAAGGACATCTATCTTGTTTCCATGCTGATTCAATAAAAAACCTTTTCTTAATCTCGGTGCAGGTGACTTCTATGGCAAGAGAAGTCAGGCATCACTCTCTGACAGAAGCAACACCCATCACTGACGAAAAGTGCAATGCAAACTATGAATCACGAATTCATATTTATTTCACTCCAAATATTTCCCGGTAGTTATCGAGTGCAATCAATGGACTCATCACTGAGCATAAGGTATACTCCATGGCTTGAGTGGTTTATAACAGCAATAATGGATCTTTCAATGCAATGCAATGAGGATAACTTCTCTTTCAGTAGGAGCTAACCAAACTCATGCAAATATTAGAGTAACATCATGCATTACATATGAAAGTGAATTAGATTCAAGCCAGTTTGGGAACAATGTCTCATTAATAAATCGCATAACCAGACTGGCTTTAAATTTATAGCAGATAAAATGTGGATCTCCCAGTGAGAAAGAATTTCAATTAAGCTGGGCAGCAGCTATTGGTCCTATTTCTCAATACTGGTCATTTGGATATATCAGCTAGCAGCAGCCCAAATAAAGTCCAACTTGGACAAGAATTCAAATCAAGAATTTAAATATAACCTGAAAGGCATACCATGAAACCCTCTGCATATTTATTCACAAGTATATGACCAATGTCATTGACTCACTAATGGATGTGTATAGAATTTAAGCTTTATACAAATTATGAGACAGCAGAAGTGAGTTTTAATATAGATTCATTTTTAGAAAGAAGGGGTGGGTTATCTTAAAGGTTGTGAAATGAGGAGTGTGTCTACTATCCTAACTGAGATCAGTTTGGCAGCATCCCATGACTTCCTTTTCTTCTTTGGATCCCAACATGATTTCAATCCCAGATTTGATATCAATTATTACTAAAAATAAAAATAAAAATGCTGGCACATAAAAAGTATAGCATAAAAAAGACAGAGAAATTTAAGTAGCACAAAAAGAGGAAAACGTTGAAGGGAAATGTTAAAAAGCTAATAGATTAAAAAGAGAGAGAGAGAGAAGTAGGGAAGAGCCAGATTTGAACAGGCTGAAACAGGAAAGGATAAATTCAATGTTAGGTTCTGCCCAAACAGACCTTCTAAAATTGATGAGGTTTGTTAACTATAAGAAAAGTTTCCTTTATTTCAAGCCGTTTCTGGCTTAAATCAAGAAACAGCTTTTTAAGATCCAGGAGATACTCACAGGAACATCTCAGCAAGCGAGAATCCAAAAGTGGCAAGTTAGAACCCAGCACCTTAATCAGTGGCTGAGAAACTCCCACCTGGGCACACAGAAGATTGGGTGACCTGGAAGGCACTGAACAGGTTGTGCTCTGGCACCACAAGATGCAGAGCTAACCTTAAGAAATGGGGCTACAAAATGGAGTCCACAATATGCGAGTCTGGAGAAGAGCAAACCACAGACCACCTACTACAATGCAACCTGAGCCCTGCCACATGCACAATGGAGAACCTTCTCACAACGACACCAGAGGCATTCCAAGTGGACAGCTTCTGGTCAAAGGACATATAGCATAAAAACAAAGTTTTAAATGCATTTAAATTGTACCCTCAACTTGCTTCTGACATGACAAATAACTGCATAGAACACCGGAACTAAAAGTTTAATTCTGAAATTTGAGAACAAGAGGGAAAACCCAAAAACACTAAAAACTGAGGAAACCACCAACCTTAGTATAATGGGAAATTATTCTTCCTCCATTAGTTCCCCACAGTGTCCAGCAGACATTTTCCACAAATCTGTATCTGCCTCCCTCCCCCCTCTCCACCGAACCTTCACATCTCTAGGTAGATATAACATTGTGTTAAAATTCAAGACTTTAGAATCTTGTTCAAATATGAAGAATGTGCTATGTGAATGATTTAAATGTATTTTAGCAGGAGAGAAACTATGGATCATAGTGATTGCTCATTTTAAAAATAATGTTATTACTGTTATCAGTTCTTTCTTCTTCCATCCCTTTTGTCTGTCTCTTTTGAAAATAAGCATTAAGCATAAGTGAAATGTTTTTTTCCAGCTATAGTTGCTGAAACTGATAATGACAAGTTTCACCTCAAAGGATTCATTCTTGAGAATCCCACAATCATTTCCTTACCTTTTAAAAACAGAAATATGACAGGATGCTTCAACCCAAGACTTTTCCCCTTTTCTATGAAGTTTAGCATAAAAAGTTAACAGAAGTCAGCACCATAACACTAAGAAGGGTGAAGTGGAAAATTCAATAAAGTATCCAAATTCCTGCCAAATCTCAGTGGATACCAAGGGCCCACTGTATTTAAGGTCCCCATAATTTACATTTAGAAGTGTTATTACACATGTCAATCACAAAAAAAACTTGTATAACAACAATATCAAGTGAGATGAACCATAAATCTGACAAGCTCTACAGTATTCTCAGAGAACATTTACATGGTACACAGGTTTGTTCATGATTCACATCATCATCTAAAAAAATCTAACTCTTCTGGAGTATTTTAGAGTTTGATAATACAAATCATAGATTTTTAACAGTAAGAAAAGAAATAAAAGGCAAATCCACTTCATTTTCTATAATATTAATGATTCATTAATGATTCACAGTAACACATCCATCACTTATGGGTTGAACTCTTCTGATTCATAAAGATAAATGCATACATGTTATGGGCTAACTACTTGAAAAACATAAACTGATTTTTGTGACAGCTGTCTAAGCAGTAGCCTAAGTATTACATCTTTTCTACATCTGGATTTCTTAGAGAGCTTCAGTACTAGCAACCATTATATCTGTCTAGATGGACTGTTTGAGTTGGACATTAGTTGGAGACCACTCGTTTTCACATCAATTTGCCTATGCATTGAGATTTTCAACACAGCACCTTATCTGCAGACCCTTATTCTCTGAGGCACAGGGGAAAGGGTTTATTTGATGGTGGCATTCCATGTAAAGAATGTGCTCTTCAGGAAGGCTAGCATAGCACTGCTTGTAATGTCAAAGATGAGGAGTTTTTTGCATTTCTATAGATTCCTCTTGAGCTTCTACAAGTGACATCATGCTTTATACTTGTTTTGTATTTTAGTTGACTGTTCATTTTTATTGCACTATTTCCCTGTTTTTGGGTTAACTTTTTTTACAAATTACACTGGAATCTGGAGAAGAAATCTACAACAATAAAATTAATTCGAGAAGTGGCATAATTCTTTGCCAAGAACTGATGTGAACCAAAATCATTTCTTTACAGAAGAGTCGAGGACATACAGCCACATGTGGTGGGATTGTGAAAGAATATAAAAGTTCCATAAAATAATTAAGAAGGAAATTCGATTGGAACAAGATAATATTTTCCTCTAGAAAATTGAAGGTGAATGAGGCTCTAAAGAATGGGGGGAGGGACTAATAAATTACATGTTAGATGCAGTTAGAGCCTCAGTCGCTTTAGCCTGGAAGGACCAATGGGACACAAAAACATGGTATAAACATTTAGTGGACTACCTCCTCCAAGACTACATTAGCAAAAGGAAAAGTTACTACAGGATGGGCCAAATCAGAAAGTCATGGGAGGCAAAACAGAAAGGCTTAATTTACAGAATAAAGGGGAAAGATAAATATAAGGAATTAAACAAGATTATCCTCATGATTAAACAATAATAATAAATACAGCAAAATTTGTAAAATGTCCCTGGAGAGGGGAGGGAGGGAGGAAGAGGGGAAATGATGTAAACATGTGTTATTAATGGAAAATGTTTTGAATGTTTGTGTAATTTTGAAAATAATCTTAAAAAGATCCTAAATAAAAAAAACAGAAGAGTCGAGATTTTAAAAAATAAAATGTATATCTCCCCCCACTCATTCTCATTTTTTTCAAGGAGTTGGAAGCAGCTTTTGTGGCCTTCCCCTTTTTGATGTTATCTCCACAATAATTTTATAAGACACTTGTGGAGTTTGTTTCCAAAAGGTACCAAAATTAAAACAAGTTACAGGTGTCAGCACTTTGTTGGAGTAAAATATTATTTATTGTCGAAGGCTTTCATGGCCGGAATCACTGGGTTGTTGTAGGTTTTTCCGGGCTATATGGCCATGTTCTGGAGGCAATTTTTCTCCTGAAACGTCAGGAGAAAAATTGCCTCCAGAACATGGCCATATAGCCCGGAAAAACCTACAACACAGTGAAATATTGTGTGCAGATCAAGCTGTTAAAATGTATCAAATCACTTTAGTACAGGGCTTGGGAAATTGCATTTTATAGCAAAAGAATACATATCCTCAGTATGTTCTTTTTCGATTCCTGGAAACTTTGATCAGATGGATTTAGTACCTTTTGAAAACAAGCTCCATGCCTTCTTTTTCCCTTTCCCTTCCTCAACCAAGGGACTAACACAGTACTTCTTTGAAAACCACCTTGTGAGGTAGCTTATTCTAAAAAAATTAGCCCAATGTTACATTGTGAGCTGCACAGCTGAATGCAGATTTGAATTCTGATTCCAAAACACACTTCATAATAAACCACTACAAATGGTTGTACCTTTCCCCCCATTCTGTGTAAGTTATCACAGCAAACAAGTGCATGCTGATTAGATTCAGGATTCCCACCAAGTTAAATGCCAAGATAAACCAAGTGAAAAAAAATCTAGCGAGAATAGAGCTGAGTGCATTAATAGATTAATTGGTTCAATTAACTAAAGTGTGGATTTTAACTAGATTGTAAATCAGAGCACTTCTCTTTGAAAGATGCTCAGTGCTGAGAATATCGTTTTGGTCTATGTACACTTTCTTGACTCAGGCAAGGGATTTGGGGATCATTTTCCAGGGTGCAATTTATCTATTTAGCCAATGGAAAAAAACAGTCCAAAACACATGAGCAGCACCGGTATTTTAAGTCACACAGAGGGAAAGATTAACACCCTGATCCCAACTATTGTTTACTAAGAAGCAAGACCAATTATTCAGTGCAACTTACAGGTTCAAGTAATTATTCACTAGTTAAATCAACTAAATCAAGAAAAGAAAATGATTAGGGAAGAAGAATAGAGCAACCAGGCATGATTAATTTTTATTAGCTCCAGACATTTGGAAAACAAAGTCTGATTTGACAGAAGAACAAATTTATCAGTTTACACTGGGAGACGAAGTGGGGACTCCAGAAATGTCTTTAACCAGGATTAAATCCTACATTTCCACTGCAATAACAATGTTTTGGTTGGCTAATAACACATTTGAAAAACTCCTTTAAAAACAGTTAAGATTATTTATCAAAGATTTTGGAACCTAATAATTTTGCATAATGCATTGTCAAAGGCTTTCCTGGCAGGAATCACTGGGTTGTTTTAAGTTTTTCGGGCTGTATGGCCATGTTCCAGAAGCATTCTCTCTTGACATTTCGCCTGCATCTGTAGCAGGCATTCTAAGAGGTTGTGAGACCTTGCCATAGATGCCGGCAAAAGGTCAGGAGAGAATGCTTCTGGAACATGGCCATACAGCCCGGAAAGCTTACAACAACCCAATTTTGTGTCAATCTGGTAAACTTTAATATGTTTTAATTATTGAACTGAATATGTTTTAACTGCTAAAGATATTTTGGGATGGTTTAATCTGCTCATCTCTATTTTAAATTTAAATTGTTCTATGCTGCTGCCATTGTTACTGGTATGCCACCTGAAATTTTTAATTAAATCTTAAAAGATATGGAATATGATTGAAATATTTTTATAAATAAAAATAACATGAAAACTACTTCATCTATGTATGCTATAGCACTTATGTCACTTCAACTTTCAAATAAACCTGAAACTTGAATCTTGAATCACAAATAATTCCACTTAATGATATATATGTGAAGAGATAGATAGATAGATAGATAGATAGATAGATAGATAGATAGATATCTGTTTATAACTGACAAAGACAGCCAAGCACACTTTTTGCACAAAGGTAGATTAGCTACAACATCCTCCTCTCACACACACTTGTAGATGTAGTTTCACTCTGAACTACAGTTGTTAAAATCAGCATTTATATTGCAGTAATACCCAAAATATTGAAATATGTCAATTTTATTCATGGAATATGACTATCCAGCAGTAGAATATAACACCACCAGAATACTTAACATTTAGAAAACCCACTGTCCATTGCGAGCTTTATTATTTTGTTTAATAACAGGACTCTTGTCCTAAAGTCTTGTTTTCAAATGTTGTGAATGAAATTCAGTTAAATAAATGATTGGCTATTACAAACAAATACAGCCAGTCCCCCATCTGACTTACAAATGACTCACAGTTAAGAACAGGGTTGAGACAAAAGAAAATGAGAGAAATCTACCTCTAGGAAGAGAAATTCACTCCTGAAAGAGTTATCACGGGGAAAAGGTGTCACAACTGAAGCGTTATCATCAATCCTTGTTTCCACATGAAGCCAATTTTTCCAAAATTCAATTATCACAGGGAGGGAAAGTGAGGTGAAATCTTCTGAACTGGGGCACTGACCCCTTTCTATGCTATTCACTGTGTGTGTGTGTGTGTGTGTGTGTGTACAGATACACACACACATATGGAGTTAAAATGAACCTCTTCTAACTTCCATACAAATTTAACTTAAGAACAACCCTACAGAACCTATTCTATTCACAACTTGGAAACAGCCGGTAATCCATGCTGCTAACATGCTGTTAATTGGGAGACTTAATCACAACATCACTTTAGCATGATGTCATGGTACCTACACAATTGCATATGTTCTGCTGAGAGAAATTTCACACAAAAATCCATGGCTAGGATACAAAGAACCTAACACACCTAGCTTTTATATCTGTCCGAGAGGAATCTGGACACTCATTCCTCCTACTTCCCCTCCCTTACGCTGAATGGAATGGCATTTCAAAAGCAGTGTAAGATATGGCATAGAAGGAGTTTTAAAGAATCTCCCTTGGGGTGCATACTAGCTCTTGGACACACCTGAAGTAGAGCTTTGGATTCAGGCCAGTGGCAATAAGAAGGAGCAAGTCTTTTACTTGTGTCTCAAGGGTACATTTCTTCTCTTTCCCTTTCAGTTTTGATCTCACCTATGTGACACCCATTTCCAATAGCTACACACGCCATGCAGCAGAAGACAAAAAGACATTGAATGGTGATCTGAATTAAGAAATAAAGACCTTAAGTGCAGGCTTTGCTGGAACATCTCCATTTTCTGAAACCTCCATGTCCAATATGCCACCATCCTTCTCACCAATGGTTTTGAGACCTTGAAGAAATATTTCTCGTAATTCCTCATAAGGTGGTTTTTCAGTATAGGTCAAAGTCATCACTTTTTCCATATACTTCCTTAGCTCATCTGAAGAAAACCATTGAAGATCTATATAAGCCAAGTATAACTGAAATGCATTAAATATCTATAGTAATAGATTTAGAAACAAACAAAAAAACACATATGCAATCATACATTTACAGTTGCATTTCTACAACTATCAGATAAGGAATTCCTCCAGTTCTATCCCAAATAGGATAGGTTATTATATAATGAAGAGAGAAAGAGAGAAGTGGAATTGTAGGTGTCTCTGCAGTGATACAGGCCACTCCTTGGAAGCAGCTTTGCTGTCATTTTTTTGGACCCAAACAAACTTATACAGGCAGTCCCCAAGTTACAAACATAGAACTCATAGTTAAGAATGGGGGTGAGACAACAGGAAATGAGAGAAATGTACCTCTTGGAAGGGAAATTTACTCCTGAAAGAGTTATCATGGGGAAAATGTGTTTCCACTGAAGTTTTATCTCCAATTCTCATTTCCACAACAAGTCAAATTTTTCAAAAACCAATTTTCATATGGACAGAAAGTAAAGTAAAACATTCTGAACAGGGGTACAGACAGCAAAGGAAACACCACAGGGGTGTTAACCCTTCCCTATGCTATCAAAAGGTAAAACATGTAGATATTTGTCTGGAGATACACTTAAAAATGTACCTGTTCCAACTTACAAACAAATTTAACTTAAGAGCAAACCTACAGAACCTATCTTGTTCATATCTTGGGGATAGTTTGTATAGACCTGAACCCATCACTAGGCTCAATTCATTGAGGATTTAAAAGAGAGAGAGAGAGAGAGAGTTTGTGCTGTATTAGGGCATTCACCAACTTTGGGATTCAAGAATTGGTAGAGTGTGAATATAGTATTGTTAAAAGTAGTAGACTAATAAGGGGTAACAACTATCAGACAGGGCATGGAACGTTTGTAGGTTTTTTTATAGTTGTTTAGTTATGTTTTAGTTATAGTGTATATTATGTAGTGCATAGTCTTAGTAGTTTTATATATTTTAAACATCAGTTTTTATGTTTTTGTTTTTTAAATAAAAAATAAAGGTAAAGGTTTCCCCTGACATTAAGTCTAGTCATGTCTGACTTTGAGAGATGATGCTCATCTCCATTTCTAAGCTGAAAAGCCAGTGTTGTCCATAGACACCCCCAAGTTCATGTGGCTGGCATGACTATGCATGGAGTGCCGTTACCTTCCTGCCAGAGCAGTACCTATTAATCAACTCACATTTGCAATTTTTCAAACTGCTAGGTTGGCAGAAGTTGGGGCTAACAATGGGAGCTCACCCCGCTCCCCGGATTTGAACTACCGACCTGTCGATCAGCAAGTTTAGCAGGTCAGTGGTTTAACCCGCTGTGCCACCGGGGACTCCTAAATAAAAAAATACTTTAAAACACAGCACAGTTTCTAAGTTTTTTTTAATCAATTAATGTTCTTTGTGTTTATAGCTACAAATCCATTCATTAGGAATTTCTTAAACAACAAAAATAAAAAAAAATCATATATGTTTCTCATGGGCTTTAGAATTAGAGGACCTCAGAAACAATTTAGATCTCAGTGAAATCAGTTATGACCATTGTCTAACTATTGTGGCTTAGATTCATTGTATCATTTTTCCCATTATTAAGAACGAGGAATCCATACTATGCAGTACAGAAAAAATATAGGAATGCATGCAGTGAAAGTCAAATGTCTATTAATCAGTGGCATTATGGCAGAGTGGATATTTCCTTTCCTAACGCATTGTCCCGTATGCTCCTCAAAATCTGCTCATGGCCTAGATGCAATGTTTGATATCCAGTAATATTAGGAAAGTTATTCAAGAATCATTTTAACTGAGAAATATCCATCAGAATATCTTCAAATCCTTTTATTCAAAGCCTCCAAACTTCAGTTTTGTTTTGACAATTACTCTTAAGTGCATGCACACTCCTGCATTTATTTAAAAATAAACAAGTGTTTTAGAGCACATTAATATTTATTTGTAATGTCCTACCTGGTTTATTTTTTCCGGGAAAACATTCAGACATCAGTTCTTTGATACTATCTGTATACCTGATAGAAGAAAACAACAAAACAACTTTTCTTGCTGTCTTTTTCCCCCTTTCATATGTGCACCCTGTGTGTATGATCAATTAATCACAGCAAAAACAGGAACAATCTTCCACGTTGTAATGTTTTATATGAAAATGAAAAATTATCTCATATCAGTCATTTGTAGGGTTGTGAGATTCAGGTAAACCGAAAGCTGTTTCGAGCTGGGCATGTTTAGCCTGCAGAATAGAAGGCTGAGAAGAGACATGATGGCCAGACATGAGGAGAGAGCAAGCTTGTTTTCTACTGCCTTGGAGACTAGGAAGCGGAACAATAGCTTCAAACTACAGGAAAGGAGATTCCACCTGAATATTAGGAAGAACTTCCTAACTGTGGGAGCTGTTCAGCAGTGGAACTCTCTGCCCCAGAATGTGGTGGAGGCTCGTTCTTTGGAGGCTTTTAAACAGAGGCTAGAGGGCCATCTGTCGGGAGAGCTTTGAATGCGATATTCCTGCTTCTTGGCAGGGGGTTAGACTGGATGGCCCATGAGGTCTCTTCCAACTCAATAATTCTATGAATCTATGATTTCTTGTCCCGGACTTCGGTAGGGACCTTGATCTGTTTTTCGGGAGCATCCAGAATATGGAGGACAGAAATCCGGTTTTCAATCCTGGAAGCTGAAATATTCCTCTTTTGATCCAGTCCACTTTCTAGGCTCCCTTCTGTCATTTTAGAGAAGTGTTTGTCCTTAAAGCTTTCATTAAGAACTGGAGTAAAAGAACCAGAGTTAAGATACCACTCTATCTGGGATCCTTCTGTCTTTCAAGGAAACTTGGATTTAAGCTAGGGCTTAAGACAACACTCTTTCTGGGATCCTTTCCCTTTTGTCTTTCAATGAAACCTGGATTTAAAACAAGTGAGTAAGATAACCCCCTTTCTGGGATCCTTTCCCTTCTAGTGGCTGTCTCCCTCCCTGACTTCACATTTTCCAGCAGCCACCAGCTGAAGACCCATTTTTGAAAACGAATTCGTGAACAACCCTAGTAATTTGTATCAAAATAGTAAAGGGATTCAACACCTTAAATAAATGGAAATATTATATGTCTGATGAATGTCATAAAATTGAAGCTAAATCAGCAAGGGAAAGTGGGCAAATGTTTAACCTTTACATTTTTTGTATATCTTCAATTTGTTATTTATTTATTTTTTAGTCTGCAAAATAACAAATATCAGTTTTTAGCATGTAATACTACGGCACTTAGTAATGTCTTTTAAATTTAAAGATCCCAATTGGCTGAAAAGTGGCATATAAATTAAATAAATACATTAATTTAGAGTAAGACTTGGAAAATACAATGATCTCATTTTTGGGGGGTTTCACACAACCTTTCTTTCTACATGCATATGGTCAATATTTTAGTTTTACAAAAGGGAGATTCGCAATCCAACCTTCTTTAAGCACATATATGGATGACAATGCTTTTAAAAACGGAACAAGACTTTAGGGCTCAAAAAAAAAAAAGAAACATGACAATTTACCTAATTTTTGAGTCTCTGACATAATTGGGATCTTTCAGGTTGTCTTGCCATGGTAGCTTGCCACTAAGCCAACAGATCATACAATAACCCAGAATTTCCAAGTCACCTCGTCTTGAAGGAGCTACAAACGAAACAGAGTATTAACTATCACAACAAAGATCTAGTTTGACAGCTATAAAGTACTCTCTATAAAAAAATTCTGAGAGGAACTGTTCAAAGCTACATTGCAGAGACTTTCAAAACGAAAACATAATCCCTCATCAGTGGCCACAGAACATGAACAAGAGGCATGCAAAACATCTTGCATGGTATTATTAGAAACAGGACCATGAAAGCTGAATAGCCATGGTCTCCTAAGAGTGGACTGTGACCTGGGGTCATCAGTGTGGGATGGAGTCCCCAGCTGCTGTTATGCTGACTGGAGACTAAATAGCGTAGGGAGAAGAGGGTTATAATTAGGTCTCTAAGTGGGGTCAGACATCACCATGGCTCTGATCCAAAAAAACTATTTTCAATACAAGCAAGTATTTGCACATGACCAGTAAAAATTTCATTATTATTATTTTATTTTTTTAATTGTAAGTCCCAATGCAGATCACAGAGTGAACAGAAAGAAGTAGGGTTGGGGGTTCAGCTCACTGCAGCATTCTCAGGATTCTAATCTGAAATTTAGAAAATATAAAAAATTATAGAAATTGAGGCACTATACTATACTGCAGTAGTTTTCAACTTTCCTAATGCCGCGACCCCTTAATACAGTTCCTCATGTGATAAACCCCAACCATAAAATTGTTTTTGTTGCTACTTCATAACTGCAATTTTGCTACTGTTATGAATCGTAATGTAAATCTCTGATAAGCAGAATGTATTTTCATTCACTGGACCAAATTTAGCACAAATACCTAATAGGTTGAAATTTGACTACTGATGGAGTTGGGGGAAATAATTTTGTCATATGGCAATTGTAGTTACAGGGATTTATAGTCCACCTACAATCAAAGAGCATTCTGAACTCCTCCAACAATGGAATTGAACCAAACTTGACCAAACTTCACCAACAATGGAATTGAACTGAACAGAACTCCCATTACCAACAGAAAATACTAGAAGGGTTTGGTGAGAATTGACTTTGAGTTTTGGAGTTCACCTACATCCAGAGAGCACTGTGGACTCAAACAATGATGGATCTGGACCAAACTTTTCACAGATACTCAGTATGCCCCAATGTGAACACTGGTGGGGTTTGGGGAAAATAGACCGTGACATTTGGGAATTATAATTGCTGCGATATATAGTTCATCTACAATCAAAAGGCATTCTGAGCGCCACCAATGATAGAATTGGGCCAAACTTCATACACAGAACCCCCATGAGCAAGAGAAAAGACTTCGTACGCCTCTGACACCCCCTCACGACCCCCCCCCCCCAGGGAAACGCTGCTATAGCAGAACAGAGAAACTCTGCTATACTGTTTAATTAGATTTCCCTCCTTTTCATTACTGCTCTTTGGTTTTTGTCTTTTTCACCACTGGTCTTTGGTACTTCTTATATGCTATTTAAATTACTGTAATATCACAGGGCGGTTAAACATTCAATTATGCTTCATCCTATTTGAAGAACCATTCCGTTTTGTCATTCTCCATTTAACGTCACAATCTGAATTGCAACCCTTATTATTTAAAATTAATCCAGGATTTATTCACAAATTTGGTTCACTCTAGAATTTCTAAGAAGCAAGCAATCTATTTCAGGGCAATATATCAACAGGCTGACATTTGTTACCTGATATTCACCACGGGTAACTTGAAGAAATGTCATACAAGAAGCAGAGCTTTATTACTTACCCACTCCTTTGTGTGCATCAATACTGGTAAATTCAAGTGTTCCATCATGACAGCGTTTGGGATTTTCTTTGTAATCCCTGTGATTGCCTTCTGGACAATATCGAAATGCAAGGCCATAATCCACCAAGTACACCTGTTAAGATACCACATGCAACAAAGCCCATTTTATAAAAAAAAATATTAAAGAACTGTAAGGAGATATTATTATTATTTTACTGGCATAAAAACACAGTATGTCATTATTATTATTAAAATATCAAATATATTATATACATGACATAAAATACAGAATAATCTAACAACACTGCGAAGTCCAGCAAGACATCAGTAAGCAAAAAGAAAAAAAAGTGATGACACAAACCTTAGGTTGGTTTTAAATCAGATACTATTTTTGATTTTTTTTTACTTACTCTCTGGAGGTTTTTAAAGAGAGGCTGGATAGCCATCTGTTGGTAGTAGTTTGATGTGTATCCGTGCATGGCAGAATGAGGTTGGACTGGAAGACCTTGTGGTCTCTTCCAACTCTACAATTCTATGAATCATTCTATCCACGTTCATATTAAAAAACAATATATTACATCATTAAATTTAATACTATACACAAGATACTTGCTTTTTATGAAGAGAGCAAGTTAAGGTAGGTCAACCTTGTTTAAACATATACTATTAAAACATGCAGACTCCAGCGCAACCATTAGCAATATCCAGCACATTGTGTAAGGTGGATCTAACATAGTTATTCATCATTAAAATCTAATAATAATAATAACAACAACAACAACAACAACAACAATTTTATTTTTATACCCCACCACCATCTCCCCAAAAGGACTCGGGGCGACTTACAGGCAGGACCAAGCCCAGAGCAAACAACAGAGTTTATCAACTAAATCACAGTTGAAAACATAATAAATATATCACAATCTAATTAAACAATTAGAAACAGCAGGGTATAAAAACATTAATAAAATACATCAAAAACAAAACTCAACAATCAATCAATCAATAGCCAGGAATATGATGAGCATGATCAGAATTAGAGAGGCTAGGAATGGACTTGTGCAAAAAGCAGCTTATAGGGCCAGGGGAAAAGTGCTGAGTACAAAGTATTGAACAGAGCTGAGTGTTCACGAACAGGGGCCTAACCGTCATCAAATGCACACTGGAATATCCCTGCGGAAGGCAGACAGAGTAGGGGCTACCCTAATCGCCCTGGGGAGGGAGTTTCAGAGATAAGGGGCCACCACTGAGAAGGCCCTCTCCCTTGTCCCCACCAACTATGCTTGTGATGGTGGCAGAAGCAAGAGGAAGGAATAGAAGCATCTTTACTTGTGTGTGGAAAGAGAGCTATCAATTTAACCTACCTGGGAAGAGAGTTCTAGATCATGGGGGCAGCCACCTAGAAAATCTTCTCACCTGCTCCTTCCAGACCTGTGAGGTTGTTAGGAGAGAGAAGGGTCTCCCCAGCAGATCGCAAAGCACAGGCATGTTCATAAGAGAAAATATGGCCCTTCAAATAACCTGGATCAGAACCAAAGTCATTTTGATTTGCCTTGGTGCAAACATCAAGAAGAAACCATGTGAGTGAGCAGGCGGTGAGTTCAAGTCTCTACCATGCATGCTGTTGTTAGCATGGATCTGATCAATCCCTTTTTAAAACATCTATCTGTAATGCTCAAAATGTGGACAGTTTCTGATTTGTTTTATAAGCAGCCATTACTGTGCTTGCATGTAACTGAGGCTTGCCACAATGACCCAGACCCAACATCAACATTATTTCCTTTCCTCTCCTGTTCCAAAAAGTGGATAATTGAGAATAGGTGTGAAGTGAAATGCAAAGAATTTTTTGTGAATCACTAGCATTTTCTCTCCACCAAAGGACATTTACAGGCTGTTTTAATAAGAAAGCTGCTTTGTATGCAGCCTACTCTCAGGTTGTCCTTGGTTTCCCTCGTCTTAGCGAAATGTTGGTAGCCGAGTATTATACATTGACAAGCAGGCATTGTGCACATGTTCAAAGATTCTGCAATTGAGACTAAATAAGACTGTCTCAAAACTGAAACATAGGGTGAGTGTGTCATCTTCAGGACCCACTACAAATGTTGTTTTAGGCAAAGGGAGCTTTGGGATTGCTTAAAAAAAAAACGCTGTCACAACAACAGGAAATTCTCCCTCCCGTTCTGAAGTGACCCAATATTTTGTCCCTTTATTCAAAGTACACAAAACCCAAATGTGAAGCTGCAAGAGAAATCTTTTTTAGAAAAAAACATATTGTCCTGCTTTTTAGACAATTACCACCTTTCCATAGAAGTGTATATAAATAAAAAATGTTGATAAGAGGCACTGTGAATAAATGGAGATATGAGAAAGACAAACCTTGATCTCAGCCTTACAAAATACAACACAGAGTAACCAAAGGAAGTGGAGGAGAGTGCAAAGGTGGAAGCGCTGAGTCAATGTGATAATGCCAAAGCACAAGAGTGAACAAACATGATTTTTTATCCAACTGAGGAAACTTGCTGACGTTCCTCTTTGGGTATAAATAATGGAACTACCTAGAGATTCTCTGAATGTTTTTATTTCACTATCACTGTTTCTCTGAAGCTTAGCGGGGTTCAGATAATGTCATCTACTAAATTTCCTCCTCTCCCCCTCTTCCAGTTTTCCTCACCACTTTTTCATCTTTTCTCTTAACACAGAAATCTGTTGTAGAAGAGATGGACGATCTCTAGAATCATAGAGTTGGAAGAGACCTAGTGGGCCATCCAGTCCAACCCCCTGCCAAGAAGCAGGAAAATTGCATTCAAAGCACTTCTGAGAGAAGACCATCCAGCCTCTGTTTTAAAGCCTCCAAAGAAGGAGCCTCCACCACACTCCGGGGCAGAGAGTTCCACTGCTGAACAGCTCTCACAGTCAGGAAGTTCTTCCTAATGATCAGGTGGAATTTTCTTTCCTGTAGTTTGAAGCCATTCTTCTGTGTCCTGGTCTTCAGGGCAACAGAAAACAAGCTTGCTCCCTCCTCCCTCTGACTTCCCCTCACATATTTATACATGGCTGCCATTTCTCCTCTCAGCCTTCTCTTCTGCAGGCTAAACATGCCCAGCTCTTTAAGCCAATCCCAATAAGGCTTATTCTCCAGACCCTTCATCATTTTAGTTGCCCTCCTCTGGACACATTCCAACTTGTCAACATCTCCCTTCAATTGTGGTGCCCAGAATTGGACACAGTATTCTAGGTGTGGTCTGACCAAGGTAAAATAGAGGGACTTCCATGGAACTAGACACTACACTCCTATTTATGCAGGACAAAAACCCATTGGCTTTTTTAGCCGCAGCATGACATTATTGGCTCATGCTTAACTTGTTGTCCATGAAGACACCAAGATCTTTTTCACACATACTGTTGTTGAGCCAGGCACCCACCATTTCGCATCTCTGCATTTCATTTTTTCTGCCTAAGTGGAGTATCTTGCATTTGTCACTGTTGAACTTCCTTTTGTTAATTTTGACCCATCTCTCTAATCTGTTAAGATCGTTTTGAATTCTGCTCCAGTCTTCTGGAGTATTAGCTATTCCTCCCAATTTGGTGTCATCTGCAAACTTGATGATCATGCCTTCTAACCCTTCATCTAAGTCATTAATGAAGATGTTGAACAAAACTGAGCCCAGGACGTAACTCTGCAGCACTCCACTCATCACTTCTTTCAGTATGGAGAGAAAGCATTGGTGAGCACCCTTTTGGGTTCATTCACTTAACCAATTATCCACCGAACCGTAGTTTTGCCTAGCCCACATTTTACTAGTTTGTTTGCCAGAAGGTCAAGGGGACCTTGTCAAAGGTCTTACTGAAATCCAGACATGCTACATTCACAGCTTTCCATGCACCTGCCTAGCTTGTAACTCTATTGAAAAAAGAGAACACCTTCTGTCACTGAGAGACAGCCCTTTGTCTGGAATGATTCCTAGACATCTGACCATTGAGAGAAATCTCCCCATTCCTTCTGCAATATACCAAACCCACATATCTCTAAGCGGTTTTCAGACTGGTAGGTTCTGTGGAATTCACTTCCAAGGCTAGTTGGGCAACTTCAAAAGTACTAGCTTTTTATTCACTTCATAGTAAGCACTTGAACAAGAGAAAATTACTGACTTCATCTGTGCATTTGCCAAACACTAAAGACATAAAATAATAATAATAATAAAATTAGACAGCTACAGATATTTCTGTAAACCAATTGATTTGAATAATCAACATGTTAAAAACTCAGGCTTTCCAAGTAACAGAACACTTATGCTTGATGGATTCTTCAAACAAAGGAAATAAAAAATTGACAAAGCAGACAAGCAAACGTAATTCACCGGTGTACTATATAATTTTAAACTTCCACCGCCAAATAGCTATTTGAAATTCGTTTTGTATCGCAAGCATTCTCCTGAATATTATTCAGGGCAGAATAGCCAATTTGATCAACTGCCAGCAAAGTGAATAAAAAATGTACAACATTAACTAGATATAAATGTCAAGCAGAAATATTAATGCCGTACACATTCATAAAGGCAAGATTTCTGCTGGGGTTCACAGCAGCTCTATTTTCTTTAAAACAATAGGTTAAACACTTCAGAAAGAACAGACTGGAAGTTACCTGATGTGGAGCTTTATAGCCCAGGAGAAGATTTGAGGCCTTGATGTCTGCATGTACATATTCATGTTCATGAACATATTCCAACACATCCAGCTATCAAAAAGCATTAACACAGAACAACGTTAGCAAAAAGAGAAAAAAGCCCAGACTCACATAGCAGGAGGCCTCTACTGATTACAAATTAAGGGTTTTTTTAAAAAAATGCATAATCTAGCATTTAAAATATTGATTTGAAGACTTACTATTCTCAGCCCCAACTGTAATACTGTTTTACGTGTAAACTGCTTTCCTCGCTCTTCAAAGATCTTCTGAAGATCTTTCCCAAATCTGTCCATCACCATAAATCTATAGCTGATTTCAAAAATAAAAAGTAATGGATTTAAAGAAAAATGCACATATTCAAATTATAGCATTATACTTTAAGATGTCTGAATTGCAGTTTGGCAAAAAGCAATGCATTCAAGGCTCACAAACACACACACACTGAAAACAATAGCAGCAACAAAAATTCAAACTATGCCCTTTGTATCACTTATACATCTTAAGAATGTATTGAATATATACAGCAACATGCCACACAATGAATCACAGAGCAATTTAATCAGGAGAACAATCCAACTCATATTAAAGACCCTTCTGAACAAGAAAACTATCACTAACCTTCTACAAATTAATGAGGATGTGACTTTAAATTTAAGGTATTCTCTCATGTATCCATCAGCCTTACTTTTGATGGCAGTGGGTCAAACAGCAAATTACTAAAATTATTAGGAGCTCCTGGTAGCACAATAGGTTAAATCCTTGTGCTGGCAAGACTGCTGACCGAAAGCCTCCCACAGGATAGTAAAACATTTGGGCATCCCCTGAGTAACCCTGCTTGCAGATGGCCAGTTCTCTCACGCCAGATGCGACTTGCAGTTTCTCAAATCGCTCCAGACATGAAAAAAAAAACACACTAAACTAAAATTATTAAGAAGCAGGCAAGACCACAAGGGACTAAGTTGAGGTTAAATGACAGGGTTAAAAACTTTAAAAATAATTGGTATTGACAAGTTTATATTGCCATGATTCAGCAAGCCCTTTCTTTACATGTAAGTGGCTACATGCAGAAATGCTCTACTTCAGCTGTTCTTAAGCTCCTCTTTACCATAGACCCCCCTTGAAACATCTTTTGTTCATGACCCCCCCCCCAAAGATTTAACTCAAGATTTAAAAGCTTAAAGCCCATTACATGTTTAGTAAAAATTGCTCATCAAGGGTCCTTATATTTGGAGAGAATGTAGTATATTCACGTGTTCCTATTATAATATTTTTTTTATTGAGATTGCATGTATGTATACACACACACATCCTCCAACAGAAACAACAAACCAACTTTAAGCCTTCACTCACACACCCTGTAAAGACATTGTGGTCCTCAGGGATCTGTGGACCATAAGTTAGGAACTACTGCTCTAGTTCTCTGAGGAACATCAGCATTTATCAATTTCTTCTTGCCACGCCATTGGAGAATGCTTTTTAAAACATTCTTTGAAGTAGGCTGGACTAATTCCAAAACAATGTGTCCCCTAGAGAAGAACCCCTCATGCTTGTAGATCATTACAAAGTTGGGAGTCTGATGCATTGCAACCCCCATCATTCCACACTATCGACAATGCTAACTAGAGTTTCTGGGAACTGCTGCTGTTACACATCTGGGAGGCTGCACAATTCTCATATCTTATCTAATGTTGTGATTCTTTGGTGCATGGCCATTTAAAAAACATGGAAATTTCTTTGATAGATTTTCAGATCCATTGTTTTCTATCATCCAAATAAAGCTTCAATGTTTTATTGAAAGTTCAATGCAAATGTTGGACATGCTCCCTTCTCTCCAACCATAGCTTATGGCATTTCTGACAAGTTATTCTTAAAACCTGGCAGACATTCAAACAATAATTCCAACCGAAAGAATCGGTTCCAACATCATTCAGTGGTGTCGTTTCAGATATAGTAAATGGTGTGTGCATTGGTTATATAAGTAATAAATAAAATAAGCATGAGATCTTTAGGTCAGAATTGAGGAGAAGAATCAAGGAAGTGTGGATTATGTGCAGAAGGGCTTTCATGACACATAATAGCTCTGAATCATAGCTCAGGAGCAAAAACTGCATGTTTGAACATGAAGAATCTCTTCCAAACTCATAAACAAAACATGAATTCCAGAGTATTAGAATGTTGCAGTTAAACTAAAATGCCTTACAGCACTTTAAAGATCAACATATTTACTAACCTTTAAGTAAAGCCACAAGATATAAAGCAATGCTAAAATTCTGAAGATTCACCCAAACAATTGCTTTTAAATACATGTAGTGATGTGTATATCCAATACTTTACCAATAAAATTTACTTACAGATTATCCTAAATTTAGCTTTACTTATTTTCCAGATTGGCAATAAACAGTTCCCATTTTTTTCACAGTGATTTAGAAGTATAAATGCCAAAACCGTATCAAAGGCCAACAAATAATTGTACTTGCTAGGATGCTTTTAAGAAACTACCATAGTGTTTGTGCAGCTGCTATTGCTGGTAGTCACTGAAAACCTTATACATTATAAAACAATATATGGTTGTACCTTTTGTCATTCTTTTGATGCAAGCCAGAACCCCAGTACTTTGGTACACCCAAGTATTTCAGTTTATGAGAAGAAATCCATTTCTTAACTGAAAGCATAAAAGAAGTTTCCAAATATGCAACGTTAACAGTTTTCCACCAAGAAATTATTGCTGCATTTATACAAGAATATGGAAATGCTCCATTTGATTACGTTCTTATTTTAAGTGTGTTTTTGTGTGATGGCTTGTTTGTTTATTGTTTTATGGGCATCTGGTCCCATGTAAGCCGCCCGAGTCCCTTTGGGGAGATGGTGGCGGGATACAAGAATCTAATCTTATTATTTGCTGCATAACAAGATTAGTACACAGCAAACAAGATCACTTTGCTGGTTTTTGTATTTGATCATACATCGGACACTTCCCAAGTGTCTAGGACTGTGTGATGTATCAGCAAATAAGGCATGCAGATCTGAGTAGGGTGGTCTTATGCAGCTGACAAATGGAAATTTTGTCAGCACCAGTTGTTTTTAAGTGCAGGCCAAGGTCTTTAAGCACTGCACCCAGTGTGCCGATCACAACTGGGACCAGCTTTAATGGCTTGGGCCAGAATCTTTGCATTTCTGTCTTTAAATCCTCATATTGTGTAAGTTTTTCTGGTTGTTGTTGTTGTTGTTATTATTATTATTATTATTATTATTAAATAATACAGAAAACCGATTAATATGCAAGATAAATAGCTGAACACATACTGCTTAAGACTCAAGCTTTGTCAACATTAAATATACATGAGTGCAGCATCTTCAAATCTATTCCGCAAACTTTGACCGGATCCTACCCACTTGATAGACACACTATGTGCATACTCCTTTGCAGATTCTAGCAATTTTAATTCAAGATGCTCTGCCTAAGTCTTGTGCTTCTTGAGCATTATAATAAATTGATAGAATAATAAAAACATAAAGTTGGAAGAGACCACAAGGGCCATTCAGTCCAACCCCATATTATCATACACATTCAAAGAACTAACAAATTCCGGCCATCTTGCCTTCATTTAGAAACCTCCAGTGAATAAGACCCCACTGAACTCCAAGGCAGAACTTAAGAAAATTCAAGCATGTTATTTAAAAAATATTGGTTGTGCTCTCCCCTTCGAACAGACACCATTTATTATGACAATTCCATTTTCCCCTTGGAAATCAGTGGCTGCTGCCTCAGTGGTTTTAAAGAGAACAAGAGCCAGTGTTCCAGTTCAGTAGATCCTGCATATAAACAATTAACTTCAATAAATATACAGCGATTTACCACAATGAGGAAACACCACACTATGATTAAGAATGTCCAAAAGTGCCAACTTAAAAGCCTTGATAAATAATAACTTCAGTTGCCAATGAATCTTTATAAACTATACATTATTGTACTTTTCTCCTTGAGCTCGATTACACTATTCAAAAAGAAATTATTTTGGTAAATCAAAACCCAGAATCCATTACTTACTTAGATCTGGTTTAGCAGCTCGCATGTAGAAACTTAATTCTGTAAAGAGTGGTCCATTGTCACTAGGTTCCTAGAAATAATTTAAAAATAAACAGAACCTTCCACAAACAATTTCTGTACATTTTGCCCTAGCAAACTCTTTGATATTAGGCAACACATTCTTCTTACGTATCCTAAAACCTTCAAATTTTCTTCCTTTTGATTCATTTTTTCACCTATTGTTACACAATGAAGGAAATCTGTTTTTCAGTGTGTGAAAAAGGAACATTTCTATAATGTTCAGTGTGATGGGCTTTTCATCTTAATATGGTGTATACTGTATTCATGTATAAATTAACCTCATTGATACGTCGACTGGGGGCCAAAATTGTGGATTTTGACATGACCCATGGTTAAGATGAAAGGTCATTCCACAGAGAGGGGAAAGGTACAGTACTCATATTGACTCATGGATAAGTCGACCCAATTTTTTGGGATTGATTTTTTGGCTCAAATTTCAAGACTTATACATAGTATAAGTAAAAGTAAATAAAATTGTATTCAGTTATTTCAAATAAATAAAGCCAATTTGGTGGTGAGGGAGAGCAGGATAGAAACATATCTATCTTAAGGAGAGAGCCTCTTCTATCTCTCAAGATTCCTTCTGCAACTCAGAATCCATTCCACAAATGGAATACAATAGATACAGAGATGGGGCCAGAGCAAGTATCCTCATTTATGTGCCTCGTCTTTTAATGCAGCCTTTGGCCTTCTCTGCCAAAGATCTGGTACCTTCCCTGCCAAAGATGCCGATACAAAGATGCAGGGCTGCAGTTAGCACAGTGGATTAAACCACCAGCTACAGAAAATCTTGCCGACTGGAAGGTTGGCAGTTCAAGCTGTGGGTCGGGGTGAGCTCCTGCCATCAGCCCTAGCTTCTGTTTACCTAGCAGTTTGAAATCAGCAATGTGAGTAGATAAATAGGTACCGCTTTGGCGGGGAAGTAAAAGGTGCCCCAGAAGACATGCCGGCAATTCGATCATGAAGGCATCTATGGACAACAGCCTCCTTGGCATGGAAGGAGCACCTCCGCATGGCTGAGTCAAGACAGCCTCCATATGCTGGAGATGAAAAAAAACGGAAGCCTTGCCTCTGTCTATGTACTGTCTGTCTTTGTTGTTATATATGTATTCCCTAATCTATTCTGAGTCCCCTTGGGGAGATAGAGCAGAATATAAATAAAGTATATTATTATTTACAACTCCCAGGATTCCATAGCACTGAGCCATGGCAGCTAAAGTGGTGTCAAACTGCATTCATGAGACACTCCATCAGAAAGCAGAGTAATGTAAATGATCTTTGATCATAAGGCATGTTCAATCTTATTTTTACCATCTCCTGTTGAAACGGCTAGACATTTTAGTAAACCTGAACACTAATAACCACCTGTCTCAATATTATTCTTTCTTAAACAAAGCAATACAAACTTTGCACATGCACCATGAAGTATATGTTCTAGTTATTTTGTTCTGGTAAGCCTGATTCAGTATGAGCAACTCAATCCTGACTCAGGATAAACTCCAATCTACAAAAAAACTTCATTATATCTATATCTAGTGTTGTATGTCCCAACTTCAATGAGACATCCATGTATTCAAGTTGTCTGTTCTGTGTAGACAGAGGCATTTGTTTATTAACACAATTTATCTCCATTATGGTTGTACACTACAGCACACCACAAAGTACTAATCTTCTATATAAATAAAATGTTTATATCAGCATCCTCTTAAAACCACACATACATCACCAGCATGAACTATGCCTTAATGCTTTTCAATACATTTAGTAGTCAAAGGCTTGATGTATAGAGTATTTTTACAAATGTAAGCTTAATCGATTCATAGTGTCTATAACTTTATAAATAAAAGGCAGCCAGAAACAGCCAAATCCATACAACACTACATTTCTGCTACCAAGCAATAATATTTGCAGTCATGTTAACTGTATTTTTTTTTCTTCTAAATCATGGTTCTGTTGAACCATAGAGTTCAGTAAGAAGTTGTTACAGGTTCCAAAAGAGATTGTGATTGCAAACTTAAAACAAGTTTTGAGCTGTAGATGTAATTGTTTTTATACAGGCATTCTCTGAGAATGGCTATTCTAGGATAAAATGAGAAAGGCTGGTCAAACATTCAGTATTCATTCTACATTATAGAATTAAGGCTGCTTGACACCATTTTAACTGCCATGGGGATACCTGGGAGATGTAGTTTGGTGAGAGACCAACACTCTTTGGCAGAGAAGTCCAACAATGTTTTAAAACTGAAACTCCCACAATTCCATACAATTAAACCTTGGCAGTCCAGTAATTGGTATTTTTTTTTCTTGTGTGCCATCAAGTAACTTCCAATTATCTTTAAGTGAACCTACCATAGGATTTTCTGTAAGAGTTCAGGCTGAAAGAGTGTGACTTGCCCAAGGTCGCTCACTGGGTTTCCATGGCTGAATGGGGATTCATACTCTAGTCTCCCGGAGTCATATTGAAACACTCAAACCAGTATATCACATTGGCTCTGAGCTTAGGAAACTAATTCACAACCACACTCCTCTTCTCTGGCTCCCAGGCATCAGGGTGGCCCCAATAGGCCCAAGGGACAGTAGCGGTCACATCTACAGCATTAGTGGCAGCCCTACAATGTCACTGGCAATCAGAGAAGAGAAGTCAAGGGCAAAGGTGGATAGGTACAATAATGATCTTCCACTTGCTTATTTTTCAGTAAATTACTGAAAAAGGAAATGCCAAAGAGCTGCCATTCTTTGATCTAGGCATGCTAAAAAACCAGAACCAGTGCCATGGCAAAGAACAGTACTCACATTAACCTGTGTAGAAGTTAGCCCAATTTTTTTCAAGTTATATACTGTACAAATGTAGATTACATTTGCAATTACTTAAGTATGAAGTCTTATTTTAAATAAGAACACAAATGGCAGAATAATTACAAGGTTGTAGATGTAACTGAAGGTTCTAACAGATTTATACTTAAGCAACCTGCAAGTTACCGGCCAAAAGGTATTTGCAAATTTATCATTATCATATTCCACTGAAGTACTGCAACAGAGGCAAATAGAAGTCATTCCAGTCTTCCCATTAAATGGTCAAATTCTAGTCTGTTATATTATTCCACTATTTCATTTCACCACTTAATGTATTTTTAAAAAGACTCAACTTACCACTTTTATAACATAGGGTGCATCACTGGTAACTGGTTTTGAAGAATTAACATCAGCTGTTTAAACATAGATTTTTTTATCAGTAGAAAAGAAACAGCTTCTAAACATACAATTATTATTTTTACAAAATTAATCAGAAATACATGCTGTAGCTTTATGGTAAATGTAATGTGATAAGTTTATATGGTAATCTATCCACTAAAGGCAATTCTCAACACAGAAAAAGAATAGTGAATGGCTGTTTCACGCATTACATGTGTTCCCTGGTTCATCCAACCTCTTCAGTGAGCAGAGTTGCATGATACATGTAGTAATAACCATGCGTGCATTGTACTTAGCATTTTATTTCCCATACAAAGTATGAACAATTTCAAATGCACACATTAAAATACAACATCAAGTACCTCTCAGGAAGCAGTCTGCGTTTTCCAGACACCACAGAGCTTTGAGAGTGATTGACATAGTGACTTCAGTCTGCCTCATATTTACAAGTCAGAAAGAGTGCTTGCCCATTCCATTCCAGAGCAATATCAGTACAAACAGGACAGCAGCAGAAGCACCAAATGGTGTGTCCTGTTGCATACCTTGTATTGGTCACTGGAGAAGCACAATAACATATGGAAAAGCTCTTACAACACAGAAAGCCACTCTCTCTCTTTTTTGGTATTTGTCAAATAACACAAAAATAGTATTTTCAAGCTCACAAACCAGCCAGTTTCCCAAAAGGAATCCTATGGCTGAGATTTTTATCAGCACTTTAGCAAAATTATATATGATTCAGAAGGTAACAGCCTTGGCCTACAAGAGCACAACAGGCAGCAAACCTTTAAAAAGTGCACATCTCCCCCTTAGTGGGTATGTTTACCAATGTTTTAGCTACTGCTGCAGCCAAATCAGATAGATTAAACTTTGCAAACCATGGCCCCTCTTGAGTCTGTTACACTGCAACTCCCACCATCCTTGAGCACTATTTATGCTGGCTGGCATAATGATATTGCAGATCGACACTAAATGCTGACCCCCCAGGCTGGGCAGGGAAAGGAGGAATGGAAGAAAACTCATAAGAATAATGACTATCTTTTGAACCATGACGGCTCTGAGATGCACAGTGTAGGTACTAATTTTGAAATCTCAAGTTTAAATGCATTATTTATTTTTAAAAGCAGCATCAAGACAGCGGTTAGCTGTGTTAAAACTTCTACATAACAAAAGTCATAAGAGCTGCCTCGCTGAACCAGACCAAAGTCTATCTTTTCTAGCATTCTTTTCCAGCAGCCAGTCAAGTATCTCTGTGAAGACTGGAATCACGACTGATCTAAATGCTCTCCCTGCACAAAGTCCAGCTGTTTTACTGTTTATGTTTGAGTGGTGGATGAATTTTCCCTATAGCCAAGTGGGTATGAAAAATATTCAAGACAATAAGGACAAACATTGTTTCCCATCATACAAGGTCTTTCGTAACCTTGTTACATTATTGTGCAGAAGAGGAAGTATCCAGCTGCTGAGGGAAGCAAGTGCCTTTCTTCAAATTTTAAAAGGAAAAAATGGAAGTGACTTGCAAAAAGTAAGACTCTTTCCGCTCACAAAATCTTCAAAAGAAGTTTACAAGGAACATCACCTTCCCTAGAGAGTGAAGGTCCAATAAAAGTGAGAAAACAGGTTGGGAGCAGAATGACAATCATAGAATCATAGAGTTGGAAGAGCCCTTGTGGGCCATCCACTCCAACTCCCTGCCAAGAAGCAGGAAAATTGCATTCAAAGCACCCCCGACAGATGGTCATCCAGCCTCCGTCACTGATGTATGAAAGTGGGGTATGCTATGAAAATGTAGTAGGGGTGGGCCAAACAAAATGTTTCTAAACAAAGCAGTTATTGTTAACTACTATGATTCCTCATGAGACCATTCTGAAGAGGGGAAATGTTAAGGCACTTATCTTTAACTAAAATGTGTCGATGATACATGTTATTGCTCGTGTTCCTTACAATTATGATTTTTCTTCAGCAATGAATGAATACAAGACTAAAAACAACACTTTTTGAACAGTCTTACCAAGATACAGGCAGCCAAAACCACCTTTGCCTATGACTGGGCCAAGTTTCCAATCTTTCTTTAACAGGTCAGTAAAAATTTCTCCAGGCGGGAATTCTTCTGCAAGTTTCCGCTTTGGAGGACCTCTTTTTCTAGCAGTCTTCTTTACATTAGGCATATCTGCTAAATAAAAAACACAACCTGTAAGAGGTCAAAGTCTATTTCACAATGTCACTTGTTTTTAGTTATTTAATATGCGTAGTCCACTCCTCTTTCAATATATCCTGTCACAACAACATATTGAGTAGTAAAATAAACACTATGTAAATTTTAGTTCGAGAACTGTGATATTCTCTGTGTTGCTGTTTTTCGACTAGGACAAAACTGCCTCTTCCTAATTGAATCTTGAACAAGGCTGTATTCTACTTTCCACATGAAGTGTAATAAAAATCATCACTTTGTAGAACACATATCTCTCTCCAGCCAAGAGATAGATCTCAAACTGCTATTGTGACCATTCAGGAGACAGAACCACTTGATTTACAGGTACCCCATGTTATTGTTCAATGCATTATCAGGTAAGTAAATAACCCCTTTTATGATGGGTTAAGGTGTCTGTTCTTGTATGGTCCAAGGAACATGCTGACCTCCCTAGAATTACTACACAGAGATAAAAGCCCCACAACATGCTAGAATTTCACCCTAGTTGAGACAGAATCTTACTTTGGTTTCTCTTCAGATCGTATAAATCTTTCGCCTCTTACTTTTCAAGGTGATTCTGCTACAGCTTGTACTCTGCCCAGTAGAAGGTTTCTTCTGCATCTACACTGCATATAAGGATTCAATTGAAATGGAAATAAGCCCTGCATGGCTTAAGTCATGTAAAAATATTTACTATGTAGTATATGCTTGCTTAAAAAGGTTATGTCAAGGCTGCTAAGAATGGCAGAAAGGTTGTGGTTTTACCTTATTCGTAGGCTTTCCTTGTAACAGGCTTCCCTGGTCTGCAGTGCTATCTAGGTTAATTATCCCGCCAGACCATTTTATGCTCTCTCCATGAGCAAATGAAAGATTAAAAATCTAAATTTGTGAGTTCCACTATAAGCGGTTTAAAAAATACATAAACAAAAGTTGATGATGTCAGCACCTGTAGTTTCAAGAATAGCATCTTGATACTAATGAACAGTCAACTTTGAGCCAATACAAGTAATGGCACAATGTGTTAAAATATTTTTCAAGTGGCTGAGGTATTATGTCATTTAGAGCTGTTTCCTTCAATCACCTCAGGCTATTTCTCTATCAAACCTAGCATAGGTAACTCTGACTCAGAATTGCAGAACAGCTGAGTTGCAAAAGACATCTAGGGTCATTTAATCCAAGGACCTGCCAATGTAGCAAGCTACAATGAAAGCATCCTTGACAGATAAAGTCCAACTAACAGGAAGCAGCTTTCCCAGGTCAGAAACAAAGGTCTCTCATCACCTACTACTCTGTTATTTTAAGCAATTTTGCCAGCGAGAGAACATGGGGCATTCTAAATGCTAACCCATGTGCTGTACAGGTTACTATCCCTTATCCAAAATTCAAAGATCCGAAATACTACAAAATTCAAAAGTGTGCATGTCAGTGGATGACAGTGAAATTTTACTTTCTAGTGGTTCGATTTACACCAATTTTGTTTCATGTACAAAATTACTGAAATACTCTGTATGAAGTATATATACATATAACTGAATTTCATGTTTACACTTGGATGCCACCTCCAAGATTTCTTAATATGCATACTTTTCTGGTACCAAGCACTTCAAATAAGGGATACTCAACTTGTATTTTTGAATATGTCTCCTCATACAGATCCTAAACTGAAAGATCTAGCACTGGTGCAGGCAACACAGAGATTATATGCATTTTCAGGAGCTGTCTCCTATAGACAGATATTTTCCCTGCTATAAAAGGGGATCATTATATTCCTAGAAGACTCCAGGAAGTGTGATTCTCCTATCTATCGATCTATCTATCTATCTATCTATCTATCTATCTATCTATCTATCTCACAACATACCATGCAGGAACTACATGCCTTAAGTTGGATAAAATTGTCTTTTTTAGATATAACTATAAGATGACTTCCTGGTCACTTCAGTTTCCTTTTCAGAGTGATATCGCTAACCACAGGTGGCAGGAAATGAAAAACGCCTACCCGGTCCATCAAACCTGCCCACATTTGGATCAACACATATAGTTTGATATTTTCTGTTCAAGCATCATATATATGACAGAGCAATCCTACACTATACTATTATTGTTGGCTTGGCTGTAGGAGCCCCAGATTGCTAAATCACCACAGACATAGGGATCCAGGCCTTAGCTCAAAGTGATAGTCTCGACTGTACCATTAGGATAATTAACTACTGTATCCATCTCTGTGATGTCATACACTTAATTTTTTATGCTTTTTATAAATTCTCTGCAATTTGATTACATCTCAGTTTATGAATATTTATAATCCATAAACAAGGATGATTCTCTTTTGTCTGAAAACATGAGTTCCAATTCATAACTATCAGGTTCTGTTTCTAGAAAGCAGGCAAAGAGAATTGTGCAATTAGCTCTATATAGTGGTATTCTCCATGTATAGAAGCTACACATGAATGACACCTAAGCCATGCTGTCAGTATTACTTCCAGTTTTCCACACTACTGAAACGAGGGAAGGCTTACTATGAAGGCCTGAGAATCACTATTCTAATGATTTCATTAATATATTTTACTTCCAGTGAAATATTCAGGGTAGCCAACACTGATACACTCAAGAAACATAAAATCCATGAAAATCTAAAGTCAATCATGGTAACCAAACAAAAGTCTTTGTGGCAATTCTAAATCATCCCAAAGCCTTTTTTAAAAGCCACATGTTACCTGCACCCTGAAATGCCAACAACTGATTTGGAAAAATAGAGCTCTCCACAATACTGTTCCAGAATCTAGCAGCCGCAATTAAGAAGGGACACTTATGAGACCATAGCTTCCATACTTCAGAAAGTAGGTAGTATTAACACTGCCTCAGTGTCCTTCATTCAACATCTAAGACCTTAAGTAGGGAGTTTGTTCTTGAACAGAGTATAGAAAAGTTCATATTGAAACTTAAAATAAGGCACTCTGGGACTAGAGGAAAAGTGAACGGAATCCTGGGGCACACTGATAACCACAAAAACTAGAATATCACCAGATGGGACAAAATGGCCTGACCCAAATCTAGGGCTCAGTTCAGCACTGGTAATACAAAGCCGCATTTGATACTTAAATATTTAGAAGCAACTTCTAGAGGGCAAAAGCTGTTTTAACAGTGAGACAGTGTTTCAGAAGACAGCAGGTGCTTCTTTCTGATTTTTTCACCACTGGTAGATGAGATTATCCTCAACGTCTCTTCTAACATTTAATATGTGTTTGGGGTGCTGTCTACAAGATAATAATCTAAATGTTTTATATTCTAAGTACTGTGTAAATAACCCAATATACATCACAGTACTTTAACTTAGCAGAACAAGACTGACTACCACTTTGGTATCACAACTCCTGATATTCTCCTTCTTTCTATGCAACTATTTCTTACTACATGTTTTACACTGAGTAGACCTAAAATGAGCACGCCTCTAATTTATTTTGAATACGGGGATTCTGCTGAGTAGGTACACAGAGTGACTCAACAGCTGACATCCTTCCTCATTTGGTAGTATTATAAACCACCAAAAATTGTTGTTGATTTCAACAGGGGTTGTTTCCGTTTCACAAGTAGCCAAGAACCACTGAAAGAAATCTGCAGCCAAAACATGTCTGAGGGCCCTTCCACAAAGCCCTATATCCCAAAATATCAAGACAGAAAATCCCAGTGTGGACTTAGTTATCTGAGTCCACACTGCCATACATTCCAGTTCAACAGAGATAATGTGGGATTTTCTGTGTTGATATTCTGGGATATAGGGTTTTGTGGAAAGGCCCTGAGTTATCTAAAGACCCTTACCTTACTTATTCTGGGTTATATGGCTGTGTGGAATGGCCTTTAATGCAGTTCAAAGTCAGCTTCAAACTGGGACAGAAAGACTACCAATTCCCCCAAAAATGTGCAAAAGAAAGCCCTTAACGCAAACCAGAGCTCTGTGGTGTGATCACCATATGGGCCTCAAACTAGTTCCAGAGTATAATGCGTAATAATATGTACAGAGAACCTGCTTTCTCCAATACCAGTTTGAAACAGCATTAAATGGTCAATGTAGATCAGGACTAAGTGCCACTCAGATGGTGATCTAAAGTTGACAGCATAACTATGGGATATAAATCAATGGTTTCCAACCTTTGCTCTTCCAGGTATAAATATGTGAGAGGAAGCCACAGGGAGGAGGGGAGCAAGCTTGTTTTCTGCTGCCTTGGAGACTAGGACGTGGAACAATGGCTTCAAACTACAAGAAAGGAGATTCCATCTGAACATGAGGATCATAGAATCATAGAATCAAAGAGTTGGAAGAGAGCACATGGGCCATCCAGTCCAACCCCCTGCCAAGAAGCAGGAACATTGCATTCAAATCACCCCTGACAGATGGCCATCCAGCCTCTGTTTAAAAGATTCCAAAGAAGGAGCCTCCACCACACTCCGGGGCAGAGAGTTCCACTGCTGAACGGCTCTCACAGTCAGGAAGTTCTTCCTCATGTTCAGATGGAATCTCCTTCTTGTAGTTTAAAGCCATTGTTTCGTGTCCTAGTCTCCAGGGAAGCAGAAAACAAGCTTGCTCCCTCCTCCCGTGGCTTCCTCTCACATATTTATACATGGCTATCATATCTCCTCTCAGCCTTCTCTTCTTCAGGCTAAACATGCCCAGCTCCTTAAGCTGCTCCTCATAGGGCTTGTTCTCCAGACCCTTGATCATTTTAGTCGCCCTCCTCTGGACACATTCCAGCTTGTCAATATCTCTCTTCAATTGTGGTGCCCAGAATTGGACACAATATTCCAGGTGTGGTCTAACCAAAGCAGAATAGAGGGGGAGCATGACTTCCCTGGATCTAGACACTATGCTCCTATTGATGCAGGCCAAAATCCTAATGTGAGAGCCGTTCAGCAGTGGAACTCTCTGCCCCGGAGTGTGGTGGAGGCTCCTTCTTTGGAAGCTTTTAAACAGAGGCTGGATGGCCATCTGTCAGGGGTGATTTGAATGCAATATTCCTGCTTCTTGGCAGATTGGGGTTGGACTGGATGGCCCATGAGGTCTCTTCCAACTCTTTGATTCTATGATTCTAAAAGGACTTAAACTACAAGAAGGAGATTCCATCTGAACATGAGGAAGAACTTCCTGACTGTGAGAGCTGTTCAGCAGTGGAACTCTCTGCCCCGGAGTGTGGTGGAGGCGCCTTCTTTGGAGGCTTTTAAACAGAGGCTGGATGGCCATCTGTCGGGGGTGCTTTGAATGCAATATTCCTGCTTCTTGGCAGGGGGTTGGACTGGATGGCCCATGAGGTCTCTTCCAACTCTCTAATTGTTTTGGACTTCAGCTCCCACAATCCTTGACACCAAAGGTTGGGAACCAATGATCTAGATGAACGAAGAGCCCTTCCACACAGCCATATAATTCATAATATCAAGGCAGAATCATAGAATAATAGAATCAAAGGGTTGGAAGAGACCTCATGGGCCATCCAGTCCAACCCCATTCTGCCAAGAAGCAGGAATATTGCATTCAAATCACCCCTGACAGATGGCCAACCAGCCTCTGTTGAAAAACTTCCAAAGAAGGAGCCTCCACCACACTCTGGGGCAGAGAGTTCCACTGCTGAACGGCTGAAAATCCCACAATATCTGCTATGTGGAAGGGCACAGAACTGGATTATTTGAGTCCACACTGCCATATAATCCAGTTCAATGTGGGTTTTATACACATTGGAAGGAGCCATAGCAGGCATAGGCAAAGTTTGGCCCTCCAGGTGTTTTGGACTTCAACTCCCACAATTCCTAACAGCCGGTAGGAGTGGGAGTCGAAGTCCAAAACACCTGGAGGGCCAAACTTTGCCTGTGCTTGGGCCACAGGCATAATGATGGAAGGGAGGCCAGGACCAAAGCTTTTTCAGTACTGGTTGAAGGGGAAGGAGAAGAAGGAGGCCTGCATCCGGGTTCCTACCTAACAGGAGTCGCCGGCAGGAGTACGACCCAGCAAGCAAGCAAGCAAGCGCCAAATGACAAGTCCACGCCGGAAGCTGCAGGGCGGAAGTTCAGACTTGCCGCGCGCAGGGAGCTTCCGGTTTCGTAGTTCCAGGCGGAGGGGGGAGGGGAGAGAGAGAGAGAGAGAGAGAGAGAGACCACGCGCCGTTGCTAAGGGCGGGGCGGCCCTGTTGCTAGGGAAAGTTTGACGGCTTCTGGTTGGAGTGAGAGAATGAAGGCGGTTTGATGCTTCAAACGTGAGGCTTTCCCCACCTCTCCCCCCCCCCTTCTCAAAATTGTTGTGTTTTGAGAATTAGATATGGACTCGTTCTCTGAAGTGGAGGGAGGATCGTGTTATAGGTTCAGCTTGTTTGAAAAGCATTATTGGACTTCAAGAGGAGGAGTTGGGAAAGAGAGAGGGAAGGGGAGGAAGAAAGGGAAAAGAAGGAAAGGGAAGGAAAAGGTAGGGAGGGAAGCCAGGGAAGGAGGGAGAAGAAAGGAATGGAGAGAAGGGAGGGAAGAAAGGAAAGGAAGGAAGGGGAGGAAAGGAAAGGAAGAGAGTGGAAGAAAGAGAAGGGAGGGAAACCCAATGAGGGAAAGGGAAGGAATGAATGGAGAGGAGGAAGGAAAGGAAAGGAGGAAAAGGAGGGAGGAGGGAAAGGAAGGAAAGAAAGGAAGGAATGGAGAGAAGGAAGAAAGGAAGGGGAGGAAAGGAAAGGAAGAGAGTGGAAGAAAGAGAATGGAGGGAAACCAATGAGGGAAAGGGAAGGAAGGAATGGAGAGAAGGGAGGGAAGGAAAGGAAAAGGAGGGAGGGGAAGAGAAGGAAGTGAAGGAAGGAATGGAGAGGAGGGAAGAAAGGGAAAGGGAGGGAAGGAAGCAAGAAGAAAGGAGAAGTGAGGGAAGGAAGGAAGGAAAGGGAAGGAAGGAATGGAGAGAGGGAGGAAAGGGAAGGAAAAGGGGAGGGGGAGAAAGGGAGGGAAGAGAAGGAATGGAGAGGAGGAAGGGAAAGGAAGGAAGAAGGAAAGGAGAGAAAGGGAGGGAGAAAGGAAAAATGGGAGGGGAGAAAGGAAAGGGGGGTTAGGGAAGGAAGGAAGGAAAGAAGAGAGGGAGGAAGGAAGGAAAGGAAGGGAGGAAAGAAGAAAGGAAGGAAGGAGAGAAGGAGGGAGAAAGGAAAGAAGGAAAGGAAGGAGGGAAGAAAGAGAAGGGAGGAAAGAAGGGAGGGAAATCACGGAAGAAAAGGGAAGGAATGGAGAGGAGGGAGGAAAGGAAAAGAAGAAAGGAAGGAAAAGGAGGGAGGAGAGGAAAGGAAGAGAGGGAAGTCAAGGAAGGAAGGGAGAGGAGGGAGGAAAGGGGAGGAAGAAAGGGAAAAGAAGGGGAGGGAAGGAAAAGGGAGGGAAGGAAGCCAAGGAGGGAAGAAAGGAAAGGAAACAGTGGGAGTGGGAGAAAGAGAAGGGAGGGAAGCCGAGGAAGGAAAGGGAAGGAAGGAATTTAGCTGTTTGATCTTTTCCTGCAGGTCATTCCACAGTCTTTGAGACTGATGTAAAGATCCTTTGGGTGACTGAAAGCATCCTCCAGAGGACCTCGGTGTCCTAAAGGGTGGATTGTGCAGAAGGCAATCCTATAGGCAACCTGGACCCAGATCATGTAGGACTTTAAAGGTTAAAACCGACACTTCGTACTTTGCCTGGAAATTAATTGGCAGCCAATGGAATGACTTTAGGATACGTGTAATGTGCTCACTCCTGGATGTTCCTGTAACCGCAATGTGGCTGCCGTATTTTGAACCAGCTGGTATTTCCAAACTTGGTACAAAGATAGCCCAATGTAAAGCACATTGCATAAGTCCAACCTTGAGGTTAACAGTGCGTACACTACCATCTTTAGGTCCTCCACATCAAGGAAGGGACTCAGCTGGCATATCAGCTGAAGCTGGTAATAAGCACTCCTGACCATTGTATCTACCTGGACTGATATTTGGGAAGATGGATTCAGGAACACTCCCAAGCTGTGAACACATTCTTTCAGAGGCAGTGTAACCCCAACGAGAATTGTTTCCTATGTTAGAACCCTTGATGGCAAGCACCTCTGTTTTGTCTGAATTTGGTTTCAAATAATGTTTTTCTCATCCAGCCCATTACTTCTTTTTTTTCTCATCCAGCCATTAATTAGACTTCAACTGCCCTAGATTTTTTTCAGTCTCTCTCAATTTGCTGGTCCCCAGCATAAAGACTAAATTTAAGCACCTCTCTAGTTTATTTCATTTATTATCCCACCTTTCTCCCAATATAAAAACTCAAGCCAGCTAAGAAATATGGCATACTACAATATTGCATACTACAAATTAAAACACTGATTATGCATTATATATTTTTATCATCATTATTTATATTCCACTTTTTTCTCTTAAAGGGACTTAGCACTGGACAGTGTTAAAAAAGAATACAATTTATAATTTAAAATCTAAAGGCTATAAACATTAATGCAGAAGTAAACGTAGTACTATCTTAAAAGGAATAATGAAAAGCATTAAAACAAATTTAAAATACATAATTATGATTTTTATTTAAAAAGTAAGAGGGACCAGCCAAGGGCAAGATGGATGGATGGATGGTATCCTTGAAGTGACTGGCTTGACTTTGAAGGAGCTGAGGGTGGCGACGGCCAACAAGGAGCTCTGGCATGGGCTGGTCCAGGAGGTCACAAAGAGCCAGAAGCGACTGAATGAATAAACAACAACAACAAAATACGAGTTTAAAAATTGAAAACATAATTAAACTCTTTCTGTCATTGATATAAAAATACTAAAACATATGTTTATATCCATATGGATGGCTGATACAGTAATAGTTTTTCTTTCTGGTGCTTCAATGTACTCAAACTTTTTTCACATGTTTTAAATTCTTTAAAACATATTGTACAAAACTATCTTCAGCAACCCTAATCTGAAATTCTGAAATCTCACAAAATCCAAAATTGTTTATTTGGGAGACTGCATTACTGCATTATATGACAGTGTAGATGAGGCTTTCGATAGTAACACTTTTGCTTTCTGATTGTTCAGTCTACACAAGCTTATGCATAGACTTATTTTAAAATTATATTAAATTGCCTTCAAGGTATGATGTATACGAAGCATAAATGATGAAGTTCATGTTTAGGTTTGAAGTCCATCTCCAAGAAAAGTTGATATATATTTAATAAATAAATATGGACCTAAAACTTGTAAGCCATCTAGGTATTTGATCTATCATCTAATCCAGAGTTCTGAAACTCTCCCCCCGCACCCCCACCTAGCAAAAAAAAAACAAAAAAACAAAAAAAAAACAAAATTGTCCTGAGAGTGTGACACATTAGTTTTTGATAGTTCAATGTACACACATTTTGTTTTATACACAATGATTTAAAAATTGTGTTAAATTACCTTCAAGCTAAGTTATACATGAAACATAAATGAAGTTCCTGTTTAGGTTTAGGGTCCATCTCAAAAAGATGAGGGATAAAAAGTTAATGGTTTTTATGTTTGTGAGCTACTTTCTGTCTCTGTCCTATGAGAAAAGAAGGTGACAAATAAATATAATAATGTAATATAATATAATAATAACATAAAAGGAATGAATCATATAGAAATGTATTTTATAAGATCTGAAAATAATCTTTAGTGAAGGAAACATAGCCGTTGTGCTTTCTTTTCTTTTCCTTTTTTTTTTTTTTTTTTTTGGCACACTGCCAGTTAGTGTTGCAAAAGTTGAAATAAGTTAGCACTCATCACCAACTCCGGGCATTCTGGTATGGAACTGAAATGGGTAAGCCATCTAGTTATTTGGTCTATTATCTCATCTTGGAAAAATGAATGAAAGTTTTAATAATTGAAAAAGCATGGACACGTTTTAAGGTGTATTGTTATTGTAAAATGTGTGATGATGTTTTGGATCAAAATCTCTTTCATTCTGTACAGCTATAGCATTTTGATATCACTGACTGCATCCTGTGGAATGTGGGAAAATTTTGATTTGAGGATGTCGCAAATGAATTCTGGATATTTTATAAAACTACAAATCCCAGGATTATATAGATGGGAACTCTGGCAGTTAAAAGTGATATCAAAATGCTAACGCAAATGAAAGCATAGCATAAGCTAATAAGTATTCAGCCAGCTTTCTAGGACTTATTCTCAGACTCACTGTCATATTACAAATAGCAAATAAGAAAGAACGAAAGAGGGAGGAAAGATTATTGGAGGCAAAAAAGAAAGAAAAGGGAGGGAAGATGATTGGAGGCACACTTTTTGTACAGGGCCCTTGCACTTAAACTGGGGGTAGGGGGAGGTATGGGTGAACCCATTTACTGAATGTTGGTAGAACTGGTACCATAGGCACCATAGTGTTGCAGAATTATCACAACTAGGGTACAAGAGCAGCCCTACAAAAGAAAATTCTAGACTTCATTGAGATTAAGTCCAGTGACAAAATTATATGATACTATGTTGTTCATTCGTTCAGTCGTCTCCGACTCTTCGTGACCTCATGGACCAGCCCACGCCAGAGCTCCCTGTCGGCCGTTACCACCCCCAGCTCCCTCAAGGTCAGTCCAGTCACTTCAAGGATGCCATCCATCCATCTTGCCCTTGGTCGGCCCTCTTCCTTTTCCTTCCACTTTCCCCAGCATAATTGTCTTCTCTAGGCTTTCCTGTCTCCTCATGATGTGGCCAAAGTACTTCAACTTTGTCTCTAGTATCTTTCCCTCCAGTGAGCAGTCGGGCTTTATTTCCTGGAGGATGGACTGGTTGGATCTTCTCACAGTCCAAGGCACTCAAAAGCATCGATCTTCCTTCGCTCAGCCTTCCCTAAGGTCCAGCTCTCACATCCGTAGGTTACTACAGGGAATACCATGGCTTTGACTAGGCGGATCATTTGTTGCCATTCTGATGTCTCTACTCTTCACTATTTTATCGAGATTGGACATTGCTCTCCTCCCAAGAAGTCTTCTGTTTCCTGGCTACAGTCTGCATCTGCAGTAATCTTTGCACCTAGAAATACAAAGTCTGTCACGGCCTCCACGGTTTCTCCCTCTATTTTCCAGTTGTCAATCATTCT